ACTGCAGGCAGTCCTACTCAGGCTGGGGAGCCTGAGGGGGAGATGTTGTAAGGAGGGCGGGCCAGCGTGTCTGAGCCTCAGCAGGTGGAGCCATGCCCCAGGCCCACCATGAACCTGGAAGGGCTGGAGATGGTTGCTGTGCTCGTGGTCCTCGCTCTGTTTGTCAAGGTCCTGGAGCAGTTTGGCCTCTTTGAGCCTGTCTCCTTGGAAGGTAACTCAGCTGTCTAGGCATGTCTGGGCTGCTGGCGGAGGGACAGCTGGCTGTAGCCTTGGGGAGGGGGTTACTCTGATTTCATGACTGGAGGCGGGGGTGAGTAGGTTAGTGATTGGATAGGGCATCTGGGGGAGATGAGGAGGGCTGCCTGGGGAATAGGACATCTGGGAGAGGTAAAGAGGGGGACTCAAGGAGTGGATCTGGGGGAGGTAAGGAGGGAGTCTGGGAGAATGGGTGTCTGAGGGAGGTGAGGAGAGAGGGACAGGGTGTTTGGGGAGGTGATGAGGGGTACAGCATATGAAGACTGGGGTATGGAGATGAGGGGAATCTGGGGCACATGAGGAGAGCTCTAGAGACAGGCAGAGGTATCTGGGGTAGAGAAAGGAGGTTCCAGGGATCCTGAGATAACACCAGCCTTCTGGGGATTCACTTTTGGGGCCAAACAGCACCTCTGAAAATACGTATGACTCTCCACGCCTCTATCCTTGCAGGTGTAGGTTACAGAGTGTGTGTGTGGACTCAGTGTGTGAGAGATATGGGGGGTGTGACTGTGTGTCCATGTGTGTAAAAAGGACAATTTGTGTGACTATGTGAGACTGTGTATGTGACAGGGTGTGTGGCTTTCTGAGATGGTGGATATGACTGTGCCTGAGGGGTACAGGGTGTGTGGCTAAGCCTCTTTGGTTATTGGATTGCATTTGTGGCTATTCCCAGAGCTCCCTGAGGATATACCAGCTCCATACCCAAGGCTTGGAATGGGAGTGGGTTCTGGAGGGACACTAGTGGGAACACTGTGAATGAGACATTTATAGATCAGCTCTGGCATGAGGGTGAGGGTGGATCAGATCACGGATCCTGCTTCCCAAGCCCCCTTGCCTCTCCCAGTTCCTCTCAGGATCCAAAGGCAGAATGGTCTCCAAGGCCTAGATATTGGGAATGGGAAATCAATTCTCCACCCCACCCCAAAGTCAAGTGGGGAGAGTGATATTGGAGGTAGAGAGAGGAGCCCATTCTGCCTCCCCAGAGAGTTTCGACCTCTCTCCTCTCCACACAAAGAACTGTGCAGCTTCATAGCATGGCAACTATACCCAGTTTCACCAGAAACAGGAAAATGCAAGAACCAAGATAGGAGGGCTGCTGGGTAGACACCTGGGAGAACTGAAAAGATGTGAATGAAGTTGGGGACAAGAGGAAGTCCATGAATTGCCTACTCTAGGGTTCAGTAAGAGCAGAAAACTCCCAGCTCACCCTCCATCCTTTGCTGTACTTATTGAGGTGGGGTGAGGAGCAGGGTTGGTCCTAGATTAACTGGGGTTCATCCAGTCTTGAAAAGATGAAGTCAGTTGGGCTCTAACTTGCCGTCCCCTTTAGACTGGTGGGGAGAGGGGTCATCCAGAAAACCCAGGCGTCCTATAGGCTAAAGGCAGCCACTTTCACTTCCCACCTTCCAAGGAGCCTAGCGGAGACTGAGTCCTGGGTGCAGGCAGGGGACCAGATAAGGGGGGATATATAAGGAGGGGGAGGATGAGAGAGGTGAGGGAGCCGTCCTCTAGTCCGGCTACTACACCACTGGAGGCCCCAAGCTCAATCCGGCTTCGGGAAACCAAAGTCCAGGCTAATGGAGCCCTAGGCCGGGGGCCAGGCCACCATCGATCCACTGCCTCTCTCCCACCCCTCCCTAGCTCCTGTGGGGGAGGGGAGAGAGAGACCTATTGGAGGGGGAGAAGGCATTCACTGCAAGCAGTTACCTCCTGGGAGCACAGCCTTGTCTTAAGGGTGGAGCCTGGCTTGGGAGGGTGGCGCCTGCGTGGGAGCTGGGGTGCCGGAGTAACCTACAACCAAAGGAAGTTGAGCCCCTCCAGGAATGGACTGAGGCCAACTTCAGTGTGCCAGATCCAGTGGACTTTGGCCCTGGAGTCTGGAGGTATGTGCATCTGGGAGACAGACAGACACACCAAGGCAGAGGGTCTCCCTGGGATGCAATTAAAGCTGTGGGACATGTGTGTAAATAAGGGGACATGAGGTAAACTGTCATCAGTGGGCTCTGGCTAGTCTCACATTACACCAAAATACTCATCTTCGAGGTCTGTTGTTGCCTCAAAGTTTGCTATCATTTCACCTTCAAAGAGTAAGCCATACTGAAAGGGACTGGGAAGGGACATACTTTTAGGATGGGTAAGTTAGCTGATAAGGAACCTGGTTCCACTGGCAGGAAGATTCTAGGTGCCTTGGAATGAAGGGCTATAGGAGAGAAAGGTGAGTGTACCCAGGACGAATGAGGGTTCGGTGGGTGAGCTGTAGTCTTAGGTATCTGGGAGCCCTTGGCACCTGGGTCACAATATGATATGGGTGTGTGTCATGGTGACCTTGATATGTGTCATAATGTCATAAGGTCACAGAGTGTCATAGTGTCCTTAACACACTGTGCCATGATGTTCTAGGGTCATTGTGTGTTCTTGTGTGGTTTGATCATGCTGTATGAAAGATGGCCTGTATGGGTCCTCATATGTGTGTGTCATGTTTTTCCTAGGTCACACTTGTATATGTTTGTATTAAGGAGTACTAGGTCAAAGTGTGTGTGTGTGTGTCTCTGTGCATGTGTTGGAGCCTGCTTAATTAGGGCATTGGGTGTGAGTGAGTTATTGGGTATCAAGCTGTCACTGTATGGCATCCATTATTCTGTAATTTATCATTCTATGTGCACTATACACACCTGTCACTGTATGTGTGTGTGTGAGAGAGAGGTGTTCCTACCCAGGCAATCCTTGGGTTGGATATCACCCTCAGTGGTCAAGCCATAGCGCTGGAGCCAAGGGCACTGGTCAGCAGACACTAAGGCCAATGCCCCTCACCCCCCCGGCCGCCTGACTGTCCTCAGGCTGTGTCCCATTATACAAGGTGCTTGAGCCACCTCGGTGGACTTTCCAAACCTGTGAAACCCACTGGGGGTCCTCTAACCCTGCCACAGCTACTCTCACCAGTCCTCCCCCAACACCCACCCCCAGTCGGGGTCGAATTGTGATAGTAGGGGGAGGGGGGGACAGGGAATAGAGGAACTGTGGGGGTTAATGTGCCCTCCTGGGGTCTTCTTTCTCCCCAGGCCACCCACCAGGGCCCACTAAAAAAGCGCTGAAGCAGCGGTTCCTCAAGCTGCTGCCATGCTGCGGGCCCCAAGCCCTGCCCTCAGTCAGTGAAAGCAAGTGCCTCTCCTGTGCTTCTGGGGGCGGGGCCATATGTGTGGGGATGTGACCAGCGTGTGTGTGTGTGTGTGTGTGTGTGTGTGTGTGTGTGTGTGTGTGACCAATATGGCAAGGGTGGGGTGGGCGCTCGCTGACCCTAGTGTGAGGAAGTGGAATGCATGGGTCAGTTTTGGGGGCGGAGCTCGAGTGTCTATGGGCGCCATTCGTTGGCGAAATGGGCGGGATCCAGGTGTTTGGGCGTGGCCAGCGTGGCAGGGCCGTGGCCCGAGCCTTGCTGGTGTGGCAAACGTGACGGGGGCGGGGCCAGGCGACTGGGAAGGTCTGTAAGTGGCTGAGATGGGTTAGAGTCTGTGCCTCTGGCCACGCGCCCTGCCCCTGGGCATGTTTTGGGCCTCGAGATGTATGTCACCTGTGCCATGACTGGCGTGGAGAGGATGGAGACCGCCTTCTAGGTGCCGGTATACTTGGGTTTTTTAATCTCAGCCGGGTCCCCAGACTTCGTTTTGTCTCTAGGCTTCAGTTGGGCCTTGGCCACCTCATAGGATCATATTGCATTTTGCAAGCTATAAGGGCCCGTTTTGTAGTTATTTTTGAGAGTATCGTCATGGTTGATTTCGCTGGGTCCCACGTGGGGGTAGATTCCGGAAAAGGACAGGTGTGAGTCCCGCAAGCATGCGTGTGTGGGGTCCCTTTCATGTGTTTGTGCTCGTTCGTTACGTGTGCCTTTGCGCACGGGGCTGGGGTGTGTGCATTGTAACACGCAGGTCTGTGAGATTTGCTGTGAGTGTGAGGGGCGAGGTGTGTGTCTGCAGTTGGCCGGGTCTTCCGCTTTCTCGGTGACAGTTCCCTCCCTTCAGCATTAGCCGCCCCAGCCTCCCTCCGCCCCCACAGACCCCGCCCGCTGGACCCAGGTGACTTATTCTCCTGGTGGGGGCGGGGGCGGAGAGCTTCGGGATTTCGGGGTGGGGGCACTTGCCTGGGGAATGGATGTTGGGGCCTGGGGCGGGATTGAGATGGGGTCAGGGATGGGACCTTCACTAAGGCTTACGAGGGGTGGGGGCAGGGGTGGGATCTGGATGGGGCTTGCCTGGAGCTGGGTGGGGCATGGCTGGCATGGCTGGGATAGGCGGGACGGGCGGGACTTGGCTGGAGGGAAGGATCTGGGCGGGGCAAGGCCAACGCTGGGTGGATCTGAGTTGGTGTGGGAAGGCCTGGTCTGGGAATGCCGGGAGCTCCGACCCTCAGACGCCTCCTCTCAAACCCATTTTTCCTACTCCTCCCTTTCTGGGACGAATATGGGGCTGGAAGCCTTCCCCTCCAACCAGGGATCAAGGCCCAGGGGCCAGCGCCGAGTTGGACCCCTGGCTCTGGGGCCAGGCCTGGCCTTGGACGGGGCCCGCTGATAAACCTCAAAGCTGACCAGCGTTTTCTCTCCTAGCCTTGACGTCCTCGGCTTGGGGTCCAGGGAACTGTCAGGCTGGTCTCCAGCGTTGGAGATGGGGGGATGGATGGGTCGGTGATTTTGAACAGGGATCGTGGGGGCCGGGCCTGAGGCGCGGCTGTCCCCCCCCCACCGACCCCCACAGACAGTGTGGAGGATGAGTTTGAACTGTCCACCGTGTGTCACCGGCCTGAGGGCCTGGAGCAGCTGCAAGAGCAAACCAAGTTCACGCGCAAGGAGTTGCAGGTCCTGTACCGGGGCTTCAAGAACGTGAGTGCAAAGCGAGACCAAACAGGGCTAGGGGTGGGGCAGGAGGGGCGGGGCCTACCCAGGACTTCTCTGATAGGATGGCCTGGGTGCTTTGGGGACTGAGAGGGAAGAGGATGGGGAGGGAGAACCCCTTGCCCTCTAACGGGAGGTTCTGGTCGGTTTGAAAGGGGACGGAGCCTGTAGACTGGCCGGTTAGTTCTGTGTTTTTTGTTTGTGCACTGGGGAGAAGTCTTGCTTCCCATTAGAAGACCTCCATGGTGAGCCCGCTGAAGACATGAAAATTTTCCCTCTGGGAATCTCTGGGCATGGGGGGAGGGGGGTAATGAATGGAAGGAGATTTTGTCTGCCCTCAGTCTGCCCCCACCTTCCCCAGGAGTGTCCCAGCGGAATCGTCAATGAGGAGAACTTCAAGCAGATTTACTCCCAATTCTTTCCTCAAGGAGGTGAGAGGACAAGGCCGGAGAGGAAGCAGCTATCCATCTCTAGGCTGAGTGGGAAGAGGGTTCTGGAGGGACTGGAAATGCCAAGTGATAAGAAGGGTTTGGGGACCCCCATAGAGGTAGGAAGCCCTCCCGGGTCTGGAAGCCAAGCTTACTTAGCCACACTTATTCCACAGACTCCAGCACATATGCCACTTTTCTCTTCAATGCCTTTGACACCAACCATGATGGCTCGGTCAGTTTTGAGGTGAGCTGGAGGAGACGGGCCAGAGAGGCCTGTTTCCTGGGGCTTCAGGGTCAGGATCTACAGGCCAAACCCACAGAGGAGGTTGGGTGAAGGGTATCTGAAGACATGGTTACCCACCCCACCCCTGCCTCCTTCCCAGGACTTTGTGGCTGGTTTGTCAGTGATTCTTCGGGGAACCATAGACGACAGGCTGAACTGGGCCTTCAACCTGTATGACCTCAATAAGGATGGCTGCATCACCAAGGAGGTGCTGGGCAACTGAAGAGCTGGAGGGGCTGTATGTGTGGGGAGGTGCAAAGGGCCCATACTAGGGAAACGTGACCCACATATGCATCACCAGCAAGGGGTGAGCCTGCCCTAGGCCCTAGGCCTCCTGGTTTGGAGGCTAGAGGCTCTGAGGAGGGATTCTCTTCTCTCTCGGCCTAACAGGAAATGCTTGATATCATGAAATCCATCTATGACATGATGGGCAAGTATACATATCCTGCACTCCGAGAGGAGGCTCCAAGGGAACATGTGGAGAGCTTCTTCCAGGTGCCTGGGACTGGGTAGGCTGGAGGGTGCTGGAGTGAAGGGAAGGAGGTGAAGTCTCAGAAGGGAACTTACCCTAGTTCTGCCTGCCTCTCTCCTGCCATCCCTCCTGTTCTCCCTATCTGACTACATTTTTGCAGAAGATGGACAGGAACAAGGATGGCGTGGTGACCATTGAGGAATTCATTGAGTCTTGTCAAAAGGTACAGGTCCTCGCCCTTCATATTTCCCTGGTCTGGACTCAGGGCCTGATTCAGTGATGTAGGGGAATGCTCCTCTGGGCAAAGTACTATCTCCCTAACTCACCTCCACTCCAGAATTCTGTTCCTTCACAACTCGGGGAGGCTCTGGGTGTCTTCTTCCTCACTGTCTCTCTCTGTCTCTGAATGTCCCATTTCTGACTCAGTGTCCCTCTCCCTGTCTCTGACAAGCTCTTTTTCTTTCTCTTTCTCTCCAATCTGCCTCTCTCACACCATGGCTACAGGACGAGAACATCATGAGGTCCATGAAGCTCTTTGACAATGTCATCTAGCTCCCCAGGAGAGGGGATCAGTGATCCTGGGGGGACCATCCTATAGTCCTAGTGCAGGTGGACTGCACCCTTTTCTTCCCAGGTCTGTCCTCATCCTAGCCCTGCCCTGGGGGCTGTAGGAATCCAAGAGCCTGGGGATTCAGTGGTCCAGATCTGTGGAGCTGAAGGGGTCAGGGAATGGGGAGAGCATATCTGCGGGGTGTTCCCAGCTCCCAACAGCTCTTACTCCCTTTCTGCCTGACACTCAGTGTTGAGGGTGCCCCTGCTATAGAAGTTGAGTGGTTCTCCACCTTCCACCCCAACTCTAGAAACCACAACACTAGACAAAATGTCTCCTGCTATGGTGCTTCCCCATCCCTGATCTCATAAACATTTCCCCTAAGACTCCCTTCTCAGAGAGGCTGCTCTGTCCTTGGCACTGACTGGCCTTTCAGACCAGGGCCTTTGAGAGCCCTGTAGGAGGGGGACAAGAATGTAGAGGGAGAAATCCTGGGCCTGAGCCAGTGGTCCTAGGAGGTGGCTGGGGTAGAGAGCAGAAAGTCCTGGAGATTGTCAGTGAGAGCTCAGGCATGCCAGGCTGTGGAACTCTGAGCTCCATAGGTCTGCTGTCCCAAGCCATGAGGATATGAGTTTCCAGGTTCTTCAGAAAACCTTGTCTTCTTGGAAACACCACAGAAATTTTCCATACCATGTTCAGTATCCCAGGAGAGCCTGGGATCCTAATGTCTCACTCATCCCTGGAAATCCTTCCTCTCCTTCCTTCCTGTTTGTATGGTGGTGGTGGCAGCAGGGGAAATATGGGTGGGAGATGTCCTGGCTGATACCTGCCAAAGTTCCAGCCTACCCTCTCTGATGGCTACAATTTAAGTTTTCATTTGCCATTTCCTCTGGAGGCATAGAGTAAGTCAGGGACTATCCAGTGGATACCCTAGAAGGAGGGAGGCAGGCATAGCATCTGAACCCAGTGTGGGGGCATTCATTAGAATCTTTGATTTACCCAGGCTCTATTCCAAGCCCCCACATAACCTCCTCAGTTCCCACTTAGAGTCTCCTTTTGCTCTATTGAATCAACCCAGAGATGCCCCTGAGCACACCTAGAAGGCAGGGACCATAGGACCCAGGTCCCACCTCATTGTCAGCACCCCTACCATGCTGCCACCCCTTAATACACTTGCTTGTCCCATTTAGCTGACCCTCCCAGTCAGCCAGGATCTGAGGGGAAGGGCCCCCAGAGAACCCCTTTTCTCATCAGAACACTGTTGACTGCTTTGCATTTTTGGCTCCTCTGTATATTTTGTAAAATAAGAAATACACCAGATCCAATAAAACACAATGGCTATGCACAGGCTGTTGTCTCTGCCTTTTTGTCCCTCTCACCCCGTAACTCGTGCTCCTACAGCCTTTTAGATACCAAAGAAAGTGGCTCTCTTTTCCATAGCATGGTCAACCCTTGGCAGGGGACCGAGATAGAGGTTCTGGAAGGGTTGGAAACCTACCTGACCTCAGAGAGGCCCCCATGTGCATCTCCCTCTCATATCCTTAGAGGAGACAATGAAGAGACAGGATATTGATGTCCGAAAGACTATGCCAAGCCAGCTGTCTTTTGGCTGGACATTCTTACAAGTTGAATCAAGATTTTCTAATTTACAGACATCTTAGTTAATCTCAAAGTGCTTTCTTTTTGAGGAGGGAATTCCCTTTAGTTTCCTTTCTGTGAATATCCCAATCTTGCCTCTAGTATGGACATACATTTGTGTCTATACTCCAGCCAAGAATGATAGGGGATCAGAGGGAGTAGACCCAGGGCAGGTTACCGTGGAGCAGGTGACACAAAAGGTAATAGCGACTTCCTGTGTGCAGTGGGAACCTTTCTTTGTTATGCTCCTGGAGAGGGGCTGCCAAAGGTAGTTTCCTTTCTCGAGGGCACCATTATGTGGATTATGTGGTGACTGAGCTTCACCATCCACAGAAGGAGGATCATGCCTTCTCTTCTATCACTGTACACATTGAGAAGGTTAAGGAAGGGGTATGGTGTCCAAGAAACAAAAACTTACTTCCAAAGTCCATCATTTTGTCATCTGTGTTCCCTGCTCACATCATCACACAACTATCTGCTCCTTAGGTCCTTGAGTTTCTTTGGGTCAAAAGCCCTCTGAAGGATCTGATGGAAGTTGTGGGCCCACTGTCCAGAAGGAAAAAATGCATACTTTTCCATATATTTTTGTATCCCTGAAGCCCATCCATTTACCCTAAGTTAAGAACCTGTGATCTAGTCTACCTCTCAGTCTTCCATTGTACAGAACAGCAAACAGGCCCAAAGAGGGGAGAGGGCCTGCTCAAGGTCACTCAGCAAGTTTATAGGAGGATCAAGACTAGACCCAGTTCCCCAGGTCTCTGTCCAGGGTGGCGCTGGGGCACAGTAAAGATTTGTGCGTGTAAGATGGAGATGCTGTGCATATCATGCATAATCTAAACAAGGTGATACTGTGACAGGCTCTCATGATGCCCTATACTTTTTTGTGTGTGGCATTTCTCAGTTTGTCACCATGTATTTATTTGAGTGATTATTTGTCTTCTCCAATACACTATAAGCTCCTGAGGGCTTCTTGAGTGCCTTGACTAGATTTTTTTCCTTCACCACCCTATCCTTGGGGCCTGGCACATAATAGGCATTCAATAATTGTATGAATAATTGTGTGATTGGATGAACGAGCATGGTGAGTGTGTGTATATAACTGGGTTAGGTATGGAGACAGTCTCTGTATCTTAGGGTAGACCTAAGTTTAAGGGAAGTTGAAGTCTGAAGCTGAGAATTTCTAGTAAGGTGAGAAGTGCCCCAAAGCAAGGGCACACAAATGGGATCCAGAAAAAAACAGCAGGTTGGCATTATAATCATTTTTTCTGGCCATAGGTTGGATTCTGAATGTTGTTAGCTGCTCCATCCCAAAACGCTCTCCTTTCCTGCCCTCTGGTGTTTCATACTCTCCTGGTTTTCCTCTTACCTTTCTGGCCACCCCTTCTCAACCCTCCCTTGCAGACTCATCCTCAACTGGAATTCCAAATGTTGAACCCCACAGCTCAGACCTGAGTCTCTTCTCCAATCATATCCAATCCCATGGGTTTAAATACCATGTAGATGCAGAGGACTCCTAAGTTTATATCCCCAGAATTTTCCTGTGAGCTCCAAGACCCATATATCCAATTGCCTATTTGATATATTCATGTGGACTTGTAATGGTCAAACTTTAACATGTTCAAAATGGAGCTTTGATTCATGCCTTCCAAGTCTTCTTCATCTCAATAAATGACACCATCTACCTAGTTGCTCAGGTCAAATTTAGAAGTCTTCATTTGTTCCTCTCTGTCTACCCTCGTTTAATCAATCATCAGTTCTACCACCAAAGGTGCACAACTTCTCTCTGCCTCCTCTGATGTCCCATAGTCCAAGCCACTGTCATCCTCAGCTAGATTACTGCTTATTCTTCCATTGGAAGTAGCCTCTCTTTGCTGTAGTTACTTTTCCACATTACTCAATTTCCTCCCTGTGTAGCACTTATTACAAACTGAGTTCCTGTATATGTACTGAATTTGTTATTGTCTGTTTCCTCAACCAGAATGTAAACTCTATGAGGGCAGGGCCCTATCTTTGCTAGGAGTTGCCACAGTATGAGGTGTTAGGCAAAGAAGAAAGTGTCATGAGACTAAGGGCTGGAGTCAGTTGGTCACATACCCTAAGGGACCACAATACCCAGTGAAGCTGTTTATGGCCCCCCAACTGTCATCACAGGAGGTTCCCTAAGAAAATGCTTATCCATAATCCTCATCTCAACACTCCAGGGTTAAAAAGAAGAGGGACTCTAAGAATCCCTGGAGCTACAGCTGGAGGAGTTGGGGTACTGCTCGAGGAGTTGAATACGAAGATGGAAAATCTTAATCAGAATGGGATTGAGATGCTCATTTCACATTTACACCTCACAAGTTCAGAGAGATCTTTCAACCAACATACATGTAAAGTGCATTATGACTGGATTACAGGAAGCTCTGAGAACATGTAGCAATGGGACCCAAGCTCATCTAAGGCTCAGGGAAGGCTTCCCCAAGGAAATGATGTTTATGCTGAGCCAGAGGGATCTCACTTCTCCCTTATACACACTTCACACTCCCCCTTCCCAACAAGCCAGGCTTTTTCACCCCTCCCTACATTTGTGTTCTGGTCCAGTTGCTTGGCTAGCTGTCCTCTCTTCCCCGCTACTCAGTCTTGCTAACTCCTACTCATCCTTTATGATCCAGCTCAAAAGTGAAGCCACGACTCTCCCCAAAGGAGGATTAAGTAAGCCTCTTCCCTGAGCTCCTGCAACACTTAGGTATACCGTGTAGGGACTGTGTGTGTACTCGCTTGTCTCCACCACCATACTGTGAGCTCATAGTGACCCAAGAGCCCAATACAAGGTAAGCTCAATAGGTGTCTGCTGAATGAAGAAATGAACGAATGACTTAATTTTTAAAAGGGGTTAGCGCCAAGCTGGGGGTAGGCGAAAATGATTCAAGGCAGAGGGGTGAGCTGAGCTCCTTGGAATGGAGCTCCTTGGGGGAAGCAGCCTCCTTCACAGAACCAAGCCTGGATCAGCCAACCTATTAGAAGAACCTCAATAGAAAGTAGGTCAGGTTCTTTCTATCTCTTTAAGAACTAGGGGCTTCGTTTCCGCGCCTGCGCTTTGAGAGAGAAAACGCCTCTCTTTTTCACCCTCCCCCTCCTTAGCCCTATAGCCCCAGTCGGCTGCCGCCTCCTCCCATACTCCCCTTCTTCGGGTGGAGTAATGGTCCGTTCCAGGGCATTTGGCTTGTTCAGGAGGGTGGCGAGCATAAATGGTACATTCCATTGCCTTCATTACCTTCCGCTTTTCGCGGCTCCTCGGTTCTAATTCCCCCTACCGAATGAAGCTCAATAGGCTAGCCCAGAAGAAGGAGGGGGAGCCGGGCTGAGGGGACCGGTCTGAGCCGGTCTCCGGCGCAGGCGCAGTGCGGATAAACAGGAAGCGGGCGGTAGAGGCAGCGATAGAAGAGAGCTAGGGGCTTCGGCAGGAAACAGCGAGACAACTGATTCTTGGGAGGGCAACAGAGTCTAACGGAGAACCAGAGAAGAGGCCTTGGCCATCTGCCTCCGGGTACTGAGAGCCCTCGCTCTCCGCTTAGGCTTCCAGCTCCCCAGCTTTAGGCTAAGGCAGAGGCTGACAAAGGGCTCGCTCCAGTGCCGCCGCCCTTCTCATCCGGGCATTTGGGTCCCTGCGGAGAGGGTGGGGGAAGGGCAGAGAGGGAGGGGAAGGAGCAAGAGGGGCGCGCGCTTGGAGCCAAGGTCCTCTCCAGGGCTCCGGGCCGGCAGCCCGACGGACGGAGGCCGAGGAGGACCCGCAGAGGTGGCGGTAGCCGGGGGCAGGAGGATGGTGCAGAAGGAGAGCCAGGCGGCGCTGGAGGAGAGGGAGAGCGAGCTCAACTCCAACCCTGCCGCCTCCGCGGGGGCATCTTTGGAGCCTCCGGCAGCTCCGGCCCCTGGAGAAGACAACGCAACCGGGGCCGGGGGAGCAGCGGTGGCCGGGGCAGCAGGAGGGGCTCGGAGGTTCCTGTGTGGCGTGGTGGAAGGTGAGCTCTCTTGCGCGGGCTGAGGAAGTGTCCTTCCTCTCGCCCCAATACTAACACATTCTCGTCTCGGGGTGGGGGGCGGGGTGTGCGGAGAGGTGGCGGCGGTGCTTTAGGGGACTCTAAAAGAGTGTGGCACTCCCTTGGGTCTGAAATTTGACCTTGCTAAAATGGGAGGAGAGGTGGAACGGTGGGCAAGTCTCCCCTCTGGTTCTTGAACGGTGTCGAATTCCTTTCTGGCTATTAACAAGTCTGACCCCACCCGCTTTGGGCTTTGAGCCAGGCATGCTCCTGCGGAGGCGTTGGTAAGGATCCCAGTGTTAGGCTCTGGGTTGTGTATCTGTGTACCTTGGGATCTTATTCCCTAGGGTGGTCTGTGTTCAAATGGAAAAACGTGTGTAGTGCTGCTGTTTCCACCCGTTGGAAAAAATCAACCCACACAGATGTGATTGTTGGCTTGTTGTAGTCCCGGAGTAAAGAGAAGCACAGTTAGTCTATAGTTTCACAGATTTTTCTTAGCTTAGTTTTTTTGGTGGCCAGTCCCCACCCCTCACCATTTGAAGATTCATTTGCAGCCTAGCAAATTGCCCTTTGCCAATTACTGTGCTTTACCTCTGAGGAATGAAGCTTTGGCTTTAACAGTATCTGCGATACGGAATTTTAATTTAGTGACTGCAGAACAGGTTTAAAAATGCCCTTTTCACCTTCTCCCTTCCTATTTCCATTTAAAAGGGATGATAAACTTTTTTCGTGGTTGGGGAAAATGACCAGAAGATTGTATCACAATTTATGAATATAATGGACAAGTATTCGGCCGTGCATTCTATGGAAGCATGACTCAGTTACATTATTGCTCTTTCCTCGAGTACAGCATATATTTGAACTTTCTGAATATTTTGCCCGACCCGAGGGTTTCCTGGCTGTCTACTTTATTGATTCTGTCTTTCTATATGTAATGGTATGCATAGGCGTAATACTGCATAAAAATTAGTCTTTATAAAAGACCAAAAAAGTATGGAAAAGGAAAGAAGGGTTGCCCTCTTGGATGAGAGCTTCAGCTTTTCCAGTCTTGTCAGCATATATAGAGTATTCATTTGAGAGATGGGTGGTGGTTATGGTATTTTAGATAAAGTTTAATTGTAGGGGAGAACAGACTAATTTGCAGCTACAATAAGGATTGAAACAGTTCAGCAAAGTTAAGTGTCTCTCAGAATTGGAAGATAGAGTGGAAAACTACTTAGGTATTTGGAGTCAATTTTTATAAAAACATAATTGTTTTGTGTAACTTATCTGTTGATATATTTATTGGATTGGTTTGAGTGCAGGGAGATGTTAGAAAAAGAGTCTGTATTTTGTCATCAAAGATCCTGGGGTGGAGGGTGGGGAAAAAGTGTTTGGGATATAGAAATTTTAGAGCTAGGCTAGAGTGAGTCTAAGGAAACTTGCCTGTCCGTTACACCTTCGTAATTGTGGAGAAAAACTGGTTGTGGTTTAAATAAGTTGGTTTGTTTTTCAGAATAGCATCAAAAGGGAACTACTCTTAGAGAATTAAGTTGTCTCTTAGCCGTTGTTCTTCCTCCTTGCCGTTCCCTTATATATTTTCTTGGTGACTGAGCACCAGATTTTTTTTTTTTTAATTTCTAAGTTGGCACCATTCCTAAAGTGGAGGGCAGGAAATACAGTAGATATTACTGGGATTCCTTTTTATTTGTTTTCTTTCCCTCAAAAACCTTTGTTGGTTTTAACTCACGTGTAACAGCACTGCTTCCTCTTTGTGGTGCCACTTACCCGAAACCATGAACCTGACCCTCAAAGAGCAAAGTTAGGGTTACTGAAGATTAAAGTGTTGAAATTAGACACTTGAAAAATGTTTCTTTTTTGTATTGAAGCAGCTCTAAAGGGAAGTTTAATACCTACTCCTTTAAGAGGAAAATGATAATGCTGTGTTCTGAGAAAGCCATAAAGACTGGTATAAAATTTACTTAATATTTTAAATTGCCCAGGAGAGGGTAACATTGAATGGTCACGATTGAAAGTGCTACAGCTTCATGCATTGGTATGTAATGAATTTTTCTTTGGTCTGTCATTGTGGTGCAGAGTAAACCATACTATATAGAAATTGGAACTTAATACATTTCAGAAATTTCAGTTTTAGATTAGTCCCGTGGGTAGACTTTGTGTTTGTGTGTGTAGAGCATTTTGTATTCAAAATGTAATTTTAACCATCTTCATGGTACTTCTAAGAGATCGTCCTTATCTCCCGCAGATGATTAGACTGAGACAGGTGGAGAATGAAGGTTAGGCAAGCTGTGATTAGCACATGAGGGCGCTCCAAATACCCGTTTGGTGCTTATACCACTACTTAAATAAGCAGTCTGCAGGTTTGTTTCCTGCAATGTGCCTTACTAGTGCTTTGCCCCCATCTAGAACACTCTGGAGCAAGTCACCTTCTGAATTTTGACTTGTTGAAATCTTTGCTCTGGAATTGAGATTACTTGAGAGTTTCCTGTTTGGCCAGTTCCACTGTTGAATTTGTTGTGAATGTGTTTAAGCCATTTTTTTTTTTAGTCTCTTTTATTATATCAGGAACTTAAAAAAAAAGTCATCATAAAATTAAGTCAATCAGATTCTTTTTTACTCTGTTCCTGATTTTTTCCCTGCCTTACTTGTTTATTCCCCGCCCCCCCCAAAGCAGTTTGACTCCCCTCCTAGGTAGTAATTGTTGTTATTAGAAGTTTTGGATTACTTTGTTTCTGCTTCTCCCATTGTAAGATTGAGATAATCTTTTAAAAAGTCAGATTTAAGGGACCAGCCTGGTAGTGTAGTGGTTAAGTCTGATGCGCTCACATTGGCGGCCCAGGTTCGTGGGTTTGGATCCTGGGTGCTGACCTACACCCCTCGTCAGCTATGCTGTGGTGGTGACCCACATGCAAAATAGAGGAAAGTTAACACAGACATTAGCTCAGGGTGAATCTTCCTCAGCAAATAAATAAATAAATAATAAAAAGTTAGATGTAAATATATTTGGTGTTTTTTGGCAGTGAAAAGAGATGATGTTTAGCTGTTTTTAAATAACTGTTACATAAGTAATAAGTGTTCATGGTAGAAAAATCAGAAAATTTACCTAAGCGAAAGGGGAATAAAAATCACTTTATAATATCACTACCCAAAGACACCTTAATGTTTTGCTAAATATCCTTCAGATTTTGGTGTATTGTGCTTTTTTTTTTTTTTTTTTACAAAACGAGGATTGAATTGTTTAGTAACCTGGTTTTCTCAATAAACAGTTGACCACATTTTGAAACTTGAAAATAACTTCATTCTTACTTTGAATCTAGGGTTTTATGGAAGACCTTGGGTTATGGAACAGAGAAAAGAACTCTTTAGAAGGTAAATTTTTATTATATGAAAGGAGAGTCTTTAAACCATTAACATTTCCTGTTGGAAGAAACACTAACACTGCATGGGCCAGGTGCAGTTTGATGGTTCTCAGCTGCAGAAGTTATTTTACCTTGGCCTTTTACCTCTTCTTCACCTGGGCCAGTGGTTTTCAGGCTCTGCTGGGGAGGTTGAATAGGTTTTGGGCTTCACCTGCCTTACCCAGAGCTGTTGTGTTTTTACCTAAGACTGTTTAACATGTTGACATTCCTTGTAATATTTAATTACAAAAAGGTTAAAAGCTACTGCCCCAGAATATATTTAGCTTTTTAAGAGATGGAGGTGCTCCAAGAAAAAGAAGAAATTGAGATTTACAGCCTATATATGTTGCCTGCTTATACATTTGTAATTTTCTTTCCTCTTAAGGCTCCAGAAATGGGAATTAAATACATACTTGTATGCCCCCAAAGATGACTACAAGCATAGGATGTTTTGGCGAGAGATGTATTCAGTGGAGGAAGCTGGTAATCTTTTTCTTTTTCATAAATTCAGAATATGTGAAGAAAACAGCTTTATTTTGAATGTAATTGTACAAGAATTTTATTAAGTATTTAATTTTTCACTTTGTAGATAGTTTCCTTATATCTGGTAACTGAGTTAGTGCAGATTGAAAGAATAGTGCTAACAATGCATAGTTATGGTGTGATTCATGGCTATGCTAGTCTGACTGTTCTGTGGTCGTAAATTGTGCTTTCTGACTTTCGCAGTGGTCTGAACAGTAGGCCACTGGACGAAGGTGCTGAAGCAGGGCTAGGCCTAGGGCAGGGCAAGTGAGGCACCTGCCTTGGATGCAAATTTTAAGGGACTCCAAAAAATCAATAATCAAGATAAGTAATGTTTTATGCAATTTTTAAGCCAAAATTAATGCAATAAATTCATGAACAAAATTCCAAAATTTTAAATCAGTATGGGATTGGTATTAACTGATCCTCTTGCTTCAGGGTCAAGTATGGCTTGGTCATGACCGCTTGATTACTTGATTTTATTTAAAATAAAAAAGACCTCACTAGTCCAGGCCCGTACTGAAGTGAAAAGCCATCACAGACCATCCTTGTGTTCTTATGTTGGGTTAGTTACATAAAATTTGTAAATAAGGTAGTACATCACAGAACCTCTTTGTAAATTAGACATGAGGTGCTTTTCTTTGGGGACTTCAGTGAATGGGGAAACATTTTCATACTTGGAATTAAATAGTATAGACATGTAGCTAACAAGATATTTTGTTACAGAGCCCAGCCAAGGCACTGAAGGCAAAAAGTTTTCTTATACTGTGAAGAAGCAATTAAAACTTAGCCCATCTCCATTTAGTGTTATTGTTTACTACTCTATATAATTTAAGTATGTCTTCAACTTAATTATTTCCTGGTGATTCTGGTAATGAAATTTAATGTGGTCAATAATCAAAATATAGTCAAATGACTATCTTGAGATACCACTGAAAGTTATTTAAAGATATATCCTGTGGTAGGAATAGTATTTCACTTAGGAAAATTGTCTATCACATTTTAAAAACTTAAAATCTGTAGTGAATATTTTTCCTGTAGTTAGAAAGATGAGAGGTCAGGATTGTTAAGGCCATCACTTAACCCTGGTTCTTAAGAATGTCTTTTTCTTTTCTTTCAAATTATAAAGTTGTTATACATAGATTGATTTATTTAGGAATTTCACTTGTTCAGAGACAGCAAAAACATACCTCTCAAATACTATAGGAAATAAAAATAGTTTATGTTCTGTAAGAAAATTGATGATTAATTCAATATTTTTGAGAAATGATAATGAAAGGAAGAGAATGTGTTATTGATTTTAGGGTGACATTAAATCACATCAGGTTTGTGCCATTTTGTACAGCCTATTGTCACATTGGACATGACACTTGTAAAATTTATGGGACTTTTTCTTTCTCGACTCATTGTAATGGAGAAAATGACCTCTTACCTTCAGTTGAATGGTGAAGGTTCTTTTAGTTTTCTGTGCTGCTTTCTAAAAACATGGACTCTGTTCTTTAGAGCAACTTATGACTCTCATCTCTGCTGCACGGGAGTATGAGATAGAGTTCATCTATGCTATCTCACCTGGATTGGATATTACCTTTTCTAACCCCAAGGAAGTATCTACATTGAAACGCAAACTGGACCAGGTAATTTCCTTACTTTTTTGTTATTTTTTTCTGAATCAGTCCTTGCAACTAAAGGTTTTCTGAGTTGCTTTTATGATGTTAAAAAGAAACCAAAGTCATACTTCTTTGTTTCTATACAAACTTTTTACTTTAATGCTTTTGATAGAGGGATACTAGGTGGAGGTACTAGTGCTTCTCAAACCAGTTTGCATAAGAACTGCCTTAAAAGAATACCTAGATATGATACTTAATGCTAATAAGCTCCATTCCCAGAAAGTCGTCTTTTTTTTTTTTTTTTTCTTTAAGATTTTATTTTTTTCCTTTTTCTCCCCAAAGCCCCCTGGTACATAGTTGTATATTCTTCGTTGTGGGTCCTTCTAGTTGTGGTATGTGGGACGCTGCCTCAGCGTGGTTTGACGAACAGTGCCATGCCCAGGATTCGAACCAATGAAACACTGGGCCGCCTGCAGCGGAGTGCGCGAACTTAACCACTCCGCCACGGTGCCAGCCCCCCCAGAGATTCTTATACTGACCTGGGGTGAGGACTTATCTCAGAGTCCAGGTGATAAGTGGATCAGAATCACATTCTGAAAAACTATATATTATTGGGTGCTTGACTGAATTTGTGACTGAGATTATAGAAACAGAGGGTTTTACCTGTTAGACATCAATTCTCTCAGTTAAATGGACAAGAAAGATAATTCAGTCTGGAAATGATTGGCTAGTTTCCCAGGATGAGAAGAAAAACCTAATAGGTAAACATGTAAGCTATTGGTGAACCTGATTGGAGTCTAAATTCTGCTTAACACAAATGCTGTACGTCTTTTTTGGTAAAGTAAGTTTGCTGATTTTTATATACATAATGTTTCTTTAGGCAAAGGTTTATATTATTGGTGGCATTAAAATGGCTGGTAAAAACTTTAAGGTAGGTAAATTTCCATGAATAAGCTTTTAATGGGTTATTTTTCTGTTTGGTTAAGTTCTACTATGTTGTTCTTTCTGATTCATTGCCTAGTTAGGTTTATGTGCAAAGGGATTAATTAGGATCAACGTGCCTTTTGGGACTAGAACAGGCCTGGGTTTTTCATATCTTGAGTTTACTTATCATTCATGTTTTTGTATTTTTCTGACTGGACTTCTATAATCAACAGCCGAGAAAGTAGGATAGGCCACATTGAGGAAACTGCTGGAACATATTGGTGTATTACATTCAAACCCAAATGAAAAATGGATCCCATACTTTCTAGATGTAAAAACAATAGGTTAGGCTTTGAACATTCTACTGAGGAAAATATTTGACTTTTTGAGTATCACTGTTAAGTATATACTTCAATATTTGGAATGCTGTATTTTTTACTCTTAAAATGAGCTGGTAAAGGATCTTGTTTTCAAGATAATTCTCTTGTTTTTTTTCTTTTCCTAGGTTTCTCAGTTTGGGTGCAGGTCATTTGCCTTGCTTTTTGATGATATTGACCATAATATGTGTGCAGCAGACAAAGAGGTATTCAGTTCTTTTGCTCATGCCCAGGTCTCCATCACAAATGAAATTTATCAGTACCTAGGAGAGCCAGAAACTTTCCTCTTCTGTCCCACAGGTATTGTATATAATGGCTTTATATTTAGTCAGTCTTCTTGAAGTATATAACTTTCAGTTCACCATGTATGGGCTTTATTGTGCTGTCCCCCCTTCCCTTTGCTGTATAAAGGTAGGAATTCTTTTTCCAGAAGACATTTCTCAAGATCTTAAACTGGAGAAATTTTAGGGACTGGAAGTATATGAGCATTACATTTTTAAGATGAAAAGAGGGATAGTATAATCAAAATGAAAACTAGAAAAAAGCAAATTTACACTGCTTTTAACTTAGTCCCTGCTCATTTCATCCTGCTTGTTCCTTTTTTCTGCCCCTGCATATCTGTATTCTTTTCACTCCTCTCACTCCCATCTGGGCTCTTAATTCCAGCAGTCAGCATAGACAGCTTAATTCCCACTCCCTCATTTCCTTTTTTCCTCTTCCCTTCCTGGTTTCTTTCAGTGAAAATGTCTTAGTCTCTTTTAGTTACCTCTCAAAATTCACCTTTAAGAAATTTTCCTCAGACTTCTTGTTCAGGAAAACATAAATAAGCTATAGTTGTAAGAAATTTTAGACTGAATTTATTTAACTTTGTGTGTACGTCTGTCTTAGAGTATTGTGAGTCATGAACCTTGTCTCAGTGGTCTGATACTACATGAGTGCTCAAATAATGTTTAATAAGATTATGCTGGGAATTAATTCACTGTAAATTATAATTTAGTTGCAGTTGAATACTAATAGCCACGGGCATACTGTTGCCTTCTTTATGTTACGATGTTAACTCATTCTACATTCTGGTAAATGTAGGCAATTCAGAATTATGTAGAATTATGCTAAAAATTCCAGTTATTTCTTTAGTAAACTTGTATTTCTAATGACTGTACGATCATAAGGATTGATACGTACTACTATTGGAGGAAGAACTATCAGATTGTATGAATTGATTTTTTTAATGAATTGATTCTTGAATGAACTATCCACTTGAGTTTACTTCCTTTGGGGCATGCCATGGAGGCCTTTTTGGATGAAAAGAATTTAGAATTGGTAGACATTTTTTTCCCCGTTCAAAAATTGATAACCATTTTACTTCTGATTATTGTACTTAATTTTCCCCTCTACATTCAGAATATTGTGGCACTTTCTGTTATCCAAATGTGTCTCAATCACCTTATTTAAGGACTGTGGGTGAAAAGCTTCTACCTGGAATTGAGGTGCTTTGGACAGGTAAGTCTTTAAGATTTATATGGTAAAACTTTAATTAACTAGGACCTAGAGAAATTGGTTGTTCCAGTTAATTGGATACTTTTTAAAAATTGAGCCTTAACCAGAAAACTTTGTTGTTAAAATTCTCTTTTTTTTTTTACTTCACAAAGTATACAATCTTCACTTAGTATAAAAAACATCTTTGGGGATTTTGCAGTGAATCTGAATATTAGTTACTGCTAAATAATAAATCTGGACAAAACTGGTCTGAAGGGTATTGATCCTAGCCCTTACAAGACTGTTCTGTTTTATAAAATGAAAGCTGTCATGCTAGATTGACAGCTAGTAATCAACAAGCTGTCTTAACTTTTATTCTAAGAATTAAGGGCAGAACCCTTTCCAGAGTTGAGGTTTATTGGGATTTGTCTTATTGAGGATATACTTTATATTATAATGGAAAAAGAAATTGTTTGCATGAAAACTTGTTTCTTATTAACATGTCAGTTTGAGGAAGCTTGCCCAAACCGTAAATATTCATACCTTTTGACTACTAAGTCTGTTTCTAGAAATCTGATCTAAGGGAATATGGCGGGGGGGGGGGGGGAGGGCAGTAAAAACTGAGTAAAAAGACATGTTGCTGTGTTATTTAAAAAAAAATTGTTAGAAAGTATGCCTATAACAAGGAAAATACAATAAAAAATTATATGCAGTATATTTTGAAGAATGATGTGAGGGTCTTTTAACAAATGGTGGTTATTATTTCTAGGTCCCAAAGTTGTTTCTAAAGAAATTCCAGTAGAGTCCATTGAAGAGGTTTCTAAGATTATTAAGAGAGCTCCAGTAATCTGGGATAATATTCATGCTAATGATTATGATCAGAAGAGACTATTTTTGGGCCCATACAAAGGAAGATCCACAGAACTCATCCCACGGTTAAAAGGAGTCTTGACTAATCCAAATTGTGAATTTGAAGCCAACTATGTTGCTATCCACACCCTTGCCACTTGGTACAAATCAAACATGAATGGAGTGAGAAAAGATGTAGTGATGAGTAAGTAGACTACTTAACCAGCAACCTTGGGAGGGGAGCTGGGGTTAACTAGAGCATTGGCAACTGCACATTTCTTTGTCGTTACAATTTAAGAGGTTTTTTTAAGGTGTGTTGTTTAGGCCTATGAATGAGATATGTGTATGATAGAAGAAGGGCTGAGTGATTTTGGACAATAATAACCTCTTGGCCTCAGTTGTTTGTTTTTAAAATGTGTCTTAGCCTTTGAAGTCTAAGTACTAGACAAGGTAGTCTTTTAGTGTTCCCATTATCCCTAGAATTGTTTTGATTCAGTTTATGTTTTCAGGTGATTTTATTAAATGAGATATTTTGGTTGATTAAATATTCTTATATGAGTCACTTCATGTATCATTTAGATTCAGCTTACATTTATGGAACATTTTCTCATTTTAGACATTGGCTTACTGATTTTTTATTTATGAAAAAGTATTAATTTAGGGGCCAGCCCGGTGGCGCAGTGGTTAAGTACACATGTTCCGCTTTGGCGGCCTGGAGTTCGTCAGTTCGGATCCCGGGTGTGGACATGGCACTGCTTGGCATGCCATTCTGTGGTAGGCGTCTCACATATAAAGTAGAGGAAGATGGGCATGGATATTAGCTCAGGGCCAGGCTTCTTCAGCAAAAAAGAGGAGGACTGGCAGTAGTTAGCTCAGGGCTAATCTTCCTCAAAAAAAAAAAAAAAAGTACTAATTTAGTTCTAAATAAGAGAATGCTAGCTAGTTGTTTATTTATTAACATTTAAACACCTACTGTGTGGCAAGTGCATCTTCCTGGGTGCTAAGGATGCAAAGAATAATGTAGACCCTACTGGATAAACATAGTCTGGTGTTAGATAAAGCATACAGGCAGCTATACTATAGTAATGATAAGTGCTGAGATAATTATGTAAAGTGCTGCAGGAACACAGAGGAGGAGTGATTACTTTTGCTAAGCAAAAGTGGTAAGAAATGATAGAGGAGGGGATACCTAAACTGGGTCAAAGTATGAGTAAAGTTTGCTGGGCATTAAAGAGTTGGTGGGCTGGAGGTAAAAACACTGGACACTGAAAATTTGAAGTTAATCTGAATTTTGGCCCATTTAGGAGAATTGAAATGTCACATTATTACGCTTGGTGATATATAGTTGTATAATTGTCTTCTGTTTCAATTCTGTATCCCTACTTGAAATTCTGTTTATTGAGTTATTGCCTCCCTTTAAGGCTCAGTCATTGTCACCCACCTCTCCCCAATAAAAAACACAAAATTAGGGATATAATCTTGAGTCCCCTCTGTATACATAGTACTTAGCTTCTGCCTCTTTTAAGGCAGAGCATGAGGCACATTAAAGAGGAGTAGACATTAGCCAAACTGGGCTGTGTGCAGGGAAATAAGAAGGGAAACTAAGTAATAGAGGGTTTTGAATACCAAGCTCAAGAATTCAGGCTTGGGCTGGCCCAGTGGCGCAGCAGTTACGTTTGCACGTACCACTTGGCGAGCAATGCTGTGGTAGGCACCCCACATATAAAGTGGAGGAAGATGGGCATGGATGTTAGCTCAGGGCCAGTCTTCCTCAGCAAAAAAGAGCAGGATTGGTGGCAGATGTTGTTAGCTCAGGGCTAATCTTCCTCAGAAGAAAAAAGAGACTTCAGGCTTGATTTTGTCTACCAGTATCCTGGTTTAGAACTTCATTATGTGCTTATTACCTGTGCTCTTATGCGGGATTTCTGTTGATTTTTCCCTTCCTCCCCTCAAGGTGTTTATTAATTTGTCCATTAGATTTTCATAATTAGGCCCATTAAGTTATAAGTCCCTGAACGGTAGGAAATGTTTCTTGTTTTTTGTGGGTTTTTTGCTGAAGAAGATTCACCCTGTGCTGACATCCATTGCCAATTCTCCTCTTTTTTTGCTTGAGGAAGATTAGCCTTGAGCTAACATGTGTCCATTTTTTTGTATGTGGGACACTGCCACAGCATGGCTGGTGAGTGGAGTAGGTCCACGTGTGGTATCTGGTCCCACGAACCTGGACCGCCAACTCAGAGCATGTAGAACTTTAACCACTTAGCCATGGGGCCAGGCCTGGGAATGTTTTGTTTTCTTTTTTCTTTGTTTTTGGTGAGGAAGTTTGGCCCTGAGCTAACATCTGTGCCAGTCTTTCTCTATTTTGTATGTAGGATGCCACCACAGCATGGCTTGATGAGTGGTGTGTAGGTCCATGCTCAGGATCCGAACCTGTAAACCCTGGACTGCTGAAGAGGAGCATATGAACTTAACCACTAAGCTGCCAGGCTGGCACCCGGAATGTTTTCTTTATGGAAAGCATAGTGCCTTTAACCTTGCATTCCCAATAATTGCTACTCAGTGGACATTTATGAATAACTTTTCCAGTGATTGTGAAATTAGTGGTTTTTATTTCACTTGGGATTTTACATTTAGCATGACATTTAGATGACTATTCTAGGTGAAGTGATGCAGTTAAGGGTCTTGGTCATGTTTCCATTTTTATGTTTAAGGTTTGTTCTTGTTCCAGTTCTCTGCTTCTCTGGTTGTACTGTAACAACTAGAGTTTTGCACTTGTTCCTCTCACTTGTCAGGAGGCTTTTGTAATCGAAACTGTTTTTGTGCTGTTTCTCTTTTGCAGCTGACAGTGAAGACAGTACTGTATCTATCCAGATAAAGTTAGAAAATGAAGGCAGTGATGAAGATATTGAAACTGATGTACTCTATAGTCCACAGATGGCTCTAAAGTTAGCTTTAACAGAATGGTTGCAGGAATTTGGCGTGCCTCATCAGTACAGCAGTGAGTTTGGCCTTTCTTTCTCAGGGGGTTGGATCACATGGTTGAGTCATAAAGAACATTTGTGATGTGCTTTACCTCAGGTCCACCAAGCAAAATGAAACGTAGGGACCTAGAGAATAGGGTTTTTAAAATCTTACTTTAGGTCTTTAAATAGCTTTTCTTTTGATGGAATGCTAATTTTTAAAAAAAATATCTTTTTTGAAATAATTATTTAAGTATTTTTAAATGTAGATCTTCAAAAGAGAATATAATAATAGGTGTTGGCATGTTTAGGGATGTTCATCATTTGTTTCTTCTCTGTTCCTTCCCCGTCTCCCCAGTGGTTTAGAGAAAGTGCATTTTTCCTCAGGGCTCAAATTATTTGGAATCTCAAATTGAGGTTCTGCTTAGAGATATAAGAAGAAGAAAACATTTCTGGAATGTGTTCTATTTCTAATTCTGATTACCTTTGTGGCAATTTGTTTTTGTAGGTAGGCAGGTCGCACACAGTGGAGCTAAAGCAAGTGTAGTTGATGGAACACCCTTAGTTGCAGCACCCTCTTTAAATGCTACAACTGTAGTTACAACAGTTTACCAGGAGCCCATTATGAGCCAGGGTGCAGCCTTGAGTGGTGACCCTACAGCTCTGACAAAGGAAGAAGAAAAGAAACAGCCAGATGAGGAACCCATGGACATGGTAGTAGAAAAACAAGAAGAAACAGACCACAAGAATGACAATCAAATACTAACTGAAATTGTTGAAGCTAAAATGGCAGAAGAACTGAAACCAATGGATACTGATAAAGAGAGCATAGCTGAATCAAAATCCCCAGAGATGTCTATGCAGGAAGATTGTATTAGTGATATTGCCCCGATGCAGACTGATGAACAGACAAACAAGGAGCAGTTTGTGCCAGGTCCGAATGAAAAGCCTTTGTACACTGCAGAACCAGTGACTCTGGAGGATTTGCAGTTACTTGCTGACCTATTCTACCTTCCTTATGAGCATGGACCCAAAGGAGCACAGATGTTACGGGAGTTCCAGTGGCTTCGAGCAAATAGCAGTGTTGTCAGCGTCAATTGCAAAGGAAAAGACTCGGAAAAAGTGAGTATGCTTGATTTACCCACTTCTGTAGCCTGGATGGGTCCCCTTGCTGATGATATGGAGGAGGTCTTAAATGAGTTCACTGGTAACTGGCAGAAAATAGATCATATCTTAGAATGTGTTCTGTAAAGTGGATGTGGACTTCTCTGAATCTGGTACATACAGTTCCACAGTTTGACTGTATAGTTAGGAATGAAAGAAAGAGAAAGTTGATTTTTTAAGGAACGTTTGTCAGTTTGGGGAGACAGACTTTCATTGCTAGTTTACAGAGTTTGAGCGTGGTGATTCTTTAATGTTTAGGATAAATTGCAGGTACTTGACAACATAAACAGCTTAGTCTACAACTGTGTTTTAGATTATTTTGTTAAGCTTGCAATTTTTTGAGTCTTTTTATTGATGTTCAATAGATTGAAGAATGGCGATCACGAGCAGCCAAGTTTGAAGAGATGTGCGGACTAGTGATGGGAATGTTCACTCGGCTCTCCAATTGTGCCAACAGGACAATCCTTTATGACATGTACTCCTATGTTTGGGATATCAAGAGTATAATGTCTATGGTGAAGTCTTTTGTACAGTGGTTAGGTAGGTGCACCAGGAATAATCTCTTCTCCTCAGATGTATTGTCACTTAAAACAAAAGACAGATTATCCCACAGGGAGAAAAACATTTAGGGAATTGGTGAATTTCCAACTCTGTTTAAATTCTTTGCCTAGATTTCTTTCAGACGGGTAGCCATTGTTGCAGAGTTGAAATGCAAGTCTCAGTAAATACATCGAGCTTATTGATTTTTCTCCCTTGGGCTAATTCAGCATAAATATCTTGAAAATGTGTTAGAAAGTACTGACTTTAACTTGCTCTGACTGAATGCTTCCTGGATGGAACCCTGTATACCACTTTTGTCTGATTTGGAGATGAGACACTATGAATTGTGACTCTGTAAGCTCTCTGCTGCTTGCTGTGTTTCGATAACATTAATACTGTGTTTAACAGAATAATTGCCGAAATGACCTAAGGGGCCTGGCAAGAGGAAGCCATCCTCCCAGCCCTGTGCGCATGCGAGCTTTAGCGGTAGGCTATTCTGGTGCTACTTGGTATTATTTCACATGATTTTTTCTTTATTCCTCTACCAAGTAATTGGTTTTAGCAGGGGATGGAAATTGTAGTCCCCTAAAAACTCTGCTTCGTTAAATGGACTTCTGTATGTCTCCTTTGAAAACAGTGATTTTTTGTGGAAATTCTCAGACTGGGTAAAAAGCACCAGCATGGCCAAGTTTCTCCAGGGACCTCATTTTATTTTCAGGTTTTCAATCCAGCTATAAGGAATATGTAATGGACTGACTTGCACACAGCAGGCAGCAAGGCTAACTGACATGTCATAGTTTTCATAGTAGTCACAAATACTATGATGGGTTACATGGTCTTGGTTGTGAAATAGATGTGCAAAACACTGTGAGCTTAGATTTAGGAGTAGTAGCAATGAGATTTCTCACTTTCTGCCTATATATTTTTGGACTCATATACTAAAAAATAATCATTTTCCTGTGATACAACTAAGTAGCAGTTTTAGTAGAGTCTCTGATTGTTAATTTGAAAATGTAGAACTTTGAGTTCCTGTATATATAGCACAAGAGGTAGAAGAGAGGTTTTAACCTCCTCTTGTTAAAAGGCTCCAAGATACCTCTTCTCTGTGATGAATGTCTGCTCTTAGGCTCAGGAATAACCTCTACATTGGTTGTTGGATGACAGCATTTGCCTTCCAGGCTCCTGGCCAGGGAATTATAATTAACCTTTATACAGATTTAAATCTTAAATTTCCAAAAAGAAATCTGGATTATTGAGCTTGATCAAGTATCGCTTAAAACATTTGATATCCAGTTTTTAATTCAAGAATTATTAAAAGTTAAATTCTTGATTATATACAGTATTGTTCCTTTTTCCTCTCAAGCTGTGCCTCTGTACTGTGCAATTATGGAGGTAGTTTTCCCAAATTGTGTTAGACAGCTGTTATACAATCTCAAGGTCAGAGCATTTTAAAAGTTTTAAGTAATCATCTTAGCATACACATAGCTTTACACAAAGCTCACAACAAGGAGAATATTTTCATGGTTCCATAGTAATTTCAGGGAGTTACTGATTAGGACTCTGTTTTCCTCCTCTCTCCAGTCCAGCTGGCATTCAGTCCTTTAAAGAATGTGGCTATGCAGTACTTTTGGTTACTAATGACTTCTATTATCTTCTTCCCCATTGTGTACAGATGGGAGAATCCTCAGCACAAGTGTCTACTACTATTGGATGGACAGCGGCAGATGTTCACAGCGCGTCATGATTAATTAGTTTAAATTGAAAGGTTCTATCTGTGGGGTAGCTCAGGTAGATTTGAGGGCAGTAGGCATGAACTGAAGTCACGTTTGCGCAGCGACTGAGGCATTAACCATGTTTTCATTTACACAGCTCTTCGTACATGCAGCTTTTTATTGTATAGTTGGAAGTGCTAGTTATGTTGTAGTCTCAAAGTAGGGGGTAGGGGAAATTGGCTGATCTTAAAGTTTGAGAAGTATAGTTTTTTCTGCAGTGTAAATTTACACTGAGCTATGGAATGGGGCAGGTTCTCTTCATAGCCTAAATTGTGACCCTACTGCATATTTATTTTACAAATATTACATTATATATGTTTTCTAAAAGTACCCCTACCCCTAAAAAATGACAAACCTGGATATAATCTCTTAATGGGCCTGAATTGTCAACAAAAAAAATTGGTTTGCTTTGGGACTGTCTGACTAGCACACTGTATCTTGTACTGATGAGACTGTTAACTTGAACAGGAGGTAGAATGCTGTCTTCAAATGGAAAAGAACTATATTGCGCTGCTTTATCTTGTCAGAAGACTAGACAGGTGATTTTGATTTGGCCTCCAAATATTTGCCTTTATCTCTTATTGTTAACTGCCTTTATTGCCTGTGAAGTTGGTTAGTGGTGACCTTAATGCTGACTTCTGGACCTTGAGGCATGCCACTCCATTCATGTGTTCATTGCACTGCTGAGATGATAATGGTCCACCAGAGGAGCCAAATACTGTCATACTTTTAAGAACAGTATGTCTTAGCTTTGGACAAATTAGGAGCATCAATCTGCGCTCCTTAATTCTCAGAAATCTGTCAGACTGGTATTATTAATAACCAAGTCTGAATTTGGATTTTCCTTGTCAGAAAAAAAATGTAGGTCTCATTGTGTTTTTGTTGTCAGCTTGTTGAACAATTTCTATTTATTCTTCTGATCTTAGTTTTCTGACAAGATTAACCCTTTCCCCCTACTTTTTCCCTTTCCTGTACCCTTCCTCAAAATGTAAAATGTGACTTCAGAGAGGTTTAATTCCTTCATGGGCTGTGATAATAAAATGTCTCATTTTCTATCGTTCATTTCACTTTATACTTACTGTAATTTCACTACAGAGCAAGCAGCTGGCTTGATTTTTATAGCTATATCTAGGGAATATATAAACTTGACCCAGAAAACTTGAGACTTACTTTCCTTTCAGTAATTAAAGAAAGGGTTAGAACTCTTTAACAGTGATTATTCATTAATCAGAGGAAGGAACATTAGTATTGAAATTCCATTATGAATTTAAAAATATTATTATCACAGCCTTGTCCTGAAACCCTGGATTATTATTGTTAGAGAGCTATTTCCACAAAGTGTTTGTTAGTTTGTTGGACGTTTGAGACCCCAGGAAATCCCCTTTCTCGTAACGTTCTCCGCTTGGATCTGATCTCAACAGGGTGTCGTAGTCATTCTTCAGCACAGTTCTTAATTGGAGACCAAGAACCCTGGGCCTTTAGAGGTGGTCTAGCAGGAGAGTTCCAGGTATCAATATGAATTCACAACTGAATTGACATTTTCTTTGTTTTATGAGAATCCTTATGTTGCGCATCAGATGGCTGGAAGGATTGGTCTGCCGAAGGCTTTCTAGTCCCAAATTCAATTTAGTTAACATAGCTGGATTTTAAATCAAATTTTCCTCCTCTTTCACAGTAATTTCTGAAGGAGATGCTGCCAATTCCCCCCGCGCCTGCGAAGCGCAGCGGCTCTAGGTATACACTTCACATTGTTTCTTTGCAGGTCGCACAGCATTTTAATCTGCGCCCGCAATGCACAATGCGCGCATGCTTGTCTGCCAGTGGAAACTCCATGAGCAAAAAGGATCAATAATAATGCAAGTGAATGGTGAAAGGGCTTTTAGATATTTTCCTAATTACTTATAAATAAAACTTGAAAGAACGGTCCATTAGTGAACATTTGAACAAAATATGAAGCTTTTTTTGATGTTGGAATTTGTTCATGGACTTTTCAGGTGCTCTACTTTTCTCCCCCCAACAGGTGCTCTGCTGCGCACAGCAAACTGAAGCGCATTGCTTTGGGGATAAAGCTTCTCCTGGACAGATAACCCTCTTCAGACCAAACCTCTCCTCCTGACATTCTGTTCTGCCATCTTTTAGTAGAGAGATGGTCTATATAAGATTGGTTTAAGAAAAAAGTAGATTTGTCATAATTCGAATAGATTTTTTTTTTACTGTAAACTTAAATCCCCATTAATATGCCACTAAATCTGTGTAACTCAGTTTGGGTAATTTCTATTCAGAAGCACTCCCCTCCCTCAGCAAAGAGGTGTTTATGTTAGTAAAGCATAGTCCACCCCTCTTCTTTAGGTCTGCCTGCAGTAGCCAGTTAATGTTAAGTTGGTAATCTGCAGTGCACACCCATTTAAAGAAATGGATATCTTCCCAACACTAATCCATCTCCTTTTCTTTTCTTTCCACAGCGTTTGCTGCCAATTGATGGGGCAAATGATCTCTTTTTTCAACCACCCCCATTGACTCCTACCTCCAAAGTTTATACTATCAGACCATATTTTCCTAAAGATGAGGTAATTGTCTACCTACCGACTTGGTGTATAGTTATGGTGCACACTTACTACATTCCTTTGACCTCCCTGGTTAAAAAAATCAGTTCTCTGTCTTAAAATACGAACTTAGATGGAGGAAATTAACTAAAATACTGAACACAGAAGAAGATATATTTAAGGAAAATCATAAGGCATTTAGACTCATAATATCTTGTGCTAAGTTCTTTGGTTCCTCCCTTAAAAAAATCTCGGGGGGGGGTGTTGTGTGTATACACACAATGGAATGTACTCAGCCATAAAAAAAGACAAAATCGTCCCATTTGCAACAACATGGATGGCCCTTGAGGGTATTACGTTAAGCAAAACAAGCCAGATAGAGAAAGACAAACACCATATGATTTCACTCATGTGGAAGATGAACAAACGTGGACAGAGAACAGTTCAGTGGTCAGCAGGGGGAGGGGCTTTAGGGAGCAGGCATGGGGTGAAAGGGAGCTCTTACATGGTGACCGACAAATCATAATGTACAACTGAAACTTCACATTGCTGTAAACTGTTACGACCTCAATAATAAAAAAAATGCTGAGTGAAAAATGAAGAAATAGAAAAACAATCAGATGAAATATATTCAGAGTTAGAATTACTAGTCTATGTGTCTAAGTGATATGTTGTCCTTGACTGATTTTCTCCAATATATTAGTATTTTGTAATTTTTGGTTGTGAAGTGTCTACAGGCTGTTGACAATCAGCTACAGTAAAAAGCGACACTGTTTAAGACAATAGCATGTTTAAAACATTTTGAATACATAGGAAATAGAGACTTAACCTCATAATTTGCTAGATTTTGAATCCACTACTTAGTGCCTAAAACTATCCCCTGGAAAGTACTTCTCAGTGTTTACTATAACCATACTGTTGTGTACTGGTTTTACAAATATGACTCAGTAAATCTTTGTTTAACAAAGCAGAGGTGATATTTATGACAGGCCAGACATTTTGTTACTCCTCCTCTTAGAAGTCCCTTGTGACTTATGAGTCATGTTGTTAAATTCTGTTGTCATTTTTTTGATGTATTGCTTAACTAGATTGTATTTTCAGGCTTCCGTGTACAAGATTTGCAGAGAAATGTATGACGATGGAGTGGGTTTACCTTTTCAAAGTCAGCCTGACCTTATTGGAGACAAGTATGTGATGAAGTGTTTGGATTTGTTGGATTTGGGAGTAGACATTTCATAGCCAGGTTTATCAGGTTGAGGGGAGGTGATGACTGGAAATACAGTTTTTTAGAAATCCTGCTTTAGTTTTAATAAAATTGGAGTATTAATATGTGTGTATATTTTTAGTTTTTTCTTACAACCTATGTAGTTTCCATAGGTTGTGATTCAAGTGCATTGGTCCTTACCTCACTGAAATCTGGAGTTTTGTGTCAGTAACATAAACTCACTCTAGCCTCTTTTCTTCTGAGCAGGTTAGTAGGAGGGCTGCTTTCCCTCAGCCTGGATTACTGCTTTGTCCTAGAAGATGAAGATGGCATATGTGGTTATGCCCTGGGCACTGTAGATGTGACCCCTTTCATTAAAAAATGTAAAATTTCCTGGATTCCCTTCATGCAGGAGAAGTATACCAAGCCAAATGGTGACAAAGAACTCTCTGAGGCTGAGGTAATACACAAGTTTAGAGTTATACTATGGAAATTTTTAAAATAAAGTACTTAATTGAAAAATTAAGCAGATCATCTTAAAATCTCTGCTTTCTAAATTTCTTACAGAAAAAAATTCTTAGGGCTTATTCTTTTCTGTTTGTTTTGGTGTCCCTGAGTGGTCATAAATTAGGGCTTTTTCTTTCTTTCTTTCTTTCTTTTCTTTTTTGCTGAGGAAGATTCACCCTGATCTAACATCTGTTGTCAGTCTTCTTTTTGCTTGAGGAAGATTCGCCCTGAGCCAAATGTCTCTGCCAACCTTACTCTCTTTTGTATGTGGGTCGCCTGCCACAGCCTGGCCACCAACAAGTGGTGTAGGTCTGAGCCCAGGAAGTGAACCTGGGCCACCGAAGCAGAGTGCACTGAACTCAACCACTAGGCCATGGGGCCGGTCCCTGGGCTTTACTCTTAGCATGACATTTTCCAGTGTTCCCTCTGTTAGGACAGTTTTTGATTTGGAAGCGTTGTTTTAATACTTATTAAGTAAAAACACAATAGGGGCTGGCCCCGTGGCCGAGTGGTTGGGTTCGTGCGCTCCACTTCGGTGGCTCAGGGTTTTGCAGGTTCAGATCCTGGGCGCAGACATGGCGCCACTCATCCAGCCGTGCTGAGGCGGCATCCCACATGCCACAAGTAGAAGGACCCACACGTAAAAATGCACAACTATGTACCGGGAGGCTTAGGGGTAGAAAGAGGAAGAATAAAATCTTTAAAAACAACAAAAAACACAATATAGACAATTAAGCTTTTTTTCCTTCCCTGTTTCAAAGCACCAGACTTAAGGATGTTGTAGTCTCTTCTTTGGGTACTCAGGGAAATTTTAGGTAGTTAAAATCTCTCATTTACTTGGTTGTCAGGAGGCTAACTTGCTTTCTCAGTAATGCATTTCTCATTATAATTAAAAAATTATAGAGGTGAGCCTCTCTGAGAGTCAGTTTTCTGATAGGAGCACTTGTTATATGTCTGTCCTATCCCAACTTCAGTGAATTTTTCCTCTAAAAAAAGTGTCGTGCTCCACATTGGTCAGTTTATGATTATTTTGGTTTCTATGTCAGCATACGCATTTTTTAAAATAGTTCCTCCTTGAGGATAATTTTTGTGCTCAATAAATATTTTGAGATACAGTCATGCACCTCATAATGATGTTTGTTCAACAACAGACTATGTATACAATGGTGATCCCATAAGATTAGTACCATATGGCCTGGGAGTGTAGTAGGCTATGCCTTCTCGGTTTGTGTAAGTACACTCTTTCATTTTTGCACAATGACGAAATCACCTGACACATTTCTCAGAATTTATATCCTCGTTTTTAAGTGATGCATGACTACATATATTTGGACTCTTATTTGTGACATTGTCTTTTTCTTCCATGTTGCTCCTCTTCCCCTTTTCTGAAATTCTCTACTCCTCTCTGTCACACCAGTGTATACTCAGATTCTGTCTATAGTTTATTACTTTTTTTTTTTTTTTAACCTTCTGTCCCTAGCCAGATAACCTGGTAATAAAAGGCTAGTTTGGAAGGCCTCACTTACTTGGAATTACATTGACACTGACTGCAAGATGCTGATGATTGAGCTGTTGATGTGTTGCTGTTCCATATGTGACAATTACAGTTTTCAGCCTAGGAACATAACTGTTTAAAAAATTACCAGTGTGTCTTTACAAACATTTAACCTAAAATTTACCATTTTACCCATTTTTAAGTGTGCAGTTCAGTAGTTTGAGGTACATTCACATTTTTGTGCAAGCAGTACAAACTTAAAAACATTTTGTTTTGAACAATTTTAGATTTGCAGAAGTTACAGAGAGAATACTGTATGTCCCTCACCCATCATTACTATAAATTCCACACTTCACTCACCAGTTTTTCCACTAATGTCCTTTTTCTGTTCCTGGATCCAATCCAGGATCCCCCATTACATTTAAAGAAACTGCTTTTAAAAGTGAAAACACTTCAGCTAGAATTTATAAGCTAATTAATTTTGCATGTGATAATTATATAATGACTGAAGTTATTAAATATTGCTTTCCTTTTCCTGTTGCTGAGTTGTCTAGTTGGGATATAGATATATAATGAGTAGCTACTACCAGTCAAGAGAGTCTTTCTAATTTTTTACAGAAAATAATGTTGAGTTTCCATGAAGAGCAGGAAGTGTTGCCAGAAACTTTCCTTGCCAACTTTCCTTCTCTGATAAAGATGGATATTCACAAAAAAGTAACTGACCCAAGTGTAGCCAAAAGCATGATGGCTTGCCTCCTGTCTTCACTGAAGGCTAATGGTGAGTACCTATTTGTGGAGCTGCTGGTGTTTGGGCTAGGTTGGGGACGGGACTATATTTTAGTATAAAAAGAAAAGTGAATTTACATTCCCTTGCCCACCATTTATGGTTTGGCTTCTGAATTATTAGTGGTGCAAGAATTACATGTATATTAATCATTGAAAAATGCTTCTCTTTTACACTATGAATGCTTATTTTGAGCCCCAGTTAAATGTGAAATGAATACATGAGGTTATATTTATCTTGCCAGGAGACTCATAAATGATAGTTGAAAGGTAAATGAACCTTGGGGAGAAATCTCATTTAGGAATTCAGAGTCGCTGACTTTTTTGAGTTTATCATCTAAATTCACTCTTCAAAAATACTTTGCTTTGACATTAATGGTATAAAAACTTTTTTTGTGAAGAGCCAGCTAGTAAGTATTCTAGGCTTTAAGGGTCACATACAGTTTCTGTTGCATATTCTTTTTTTAAAGAATCTTTTAAAAATGTAAAAAAAAAACCTTTTTAGCCCATGGGCAATACAAAAATGGGCAGCTTGTTGAGCCCTCATTAGAGGGTTGTCGATCATGAGAATGCACTTACTGTTGCATCTTTATATCATTTGAGTCACTGGTGTCCCTTTTGTGGGATAATTTAAACAACTTTGAAGAAAGCATAATTCTCAGTGTTGTGCTTGGAACTGAATCATGCAGGTATATGAGATATGTCTTAGAATATACAACACATTCTGGTTATACTGGCTGGTGACATAGGCTGTGATCCACTCTGCCCTGTGCAAAAGATTTTCTTTCTTGGAAGAGTTTTACTCACTGTTGAGTCTTTTTTAATTGAGGTATATTTGACAATTAAGAATTGTGTATATTTAAAGGTGTACAGTTTGATGATTTGAAATACATTCTGTAATACTCACCATATTCAAGCTAGTTAACATATCTATCACTTAAGATAGTACCACTGCAATATTCAGTGTTGATGAATATTAATATTCATTGAATAGGAATATGAATTTTTCAATTGTGGTAAGAAATTTAGGGGCTAGTATACACAAGCTCCTATGATCTATTTGAAATATATTAAAGATTAATCATAATTCATATCCATAATTCTACTAAGTGACATTTACATTTTTTAATATTTGTTTTATTTCTAGGCTCCCGGGGGGCTTTCTGTGAAGTGAGACCAGATGATAAAAGAATTCTGGAATTTTACAGCAAGTTAGGCTGTTTTGAAATTGCGAAAATGGAAGGATTTCCAAAGGATGTGGTTATACTTGGTCGGAGCCTGTGACATTTGTCGGTGGCTACGAACTGTCCGAAAGTCTCTTAACTTCACCTGGTGGGTGGTGGGGTCTTCATACACTTCGGCCTCTGGAGTGGCAACAGATCAGCCAATTGGGATTGGAAACGAAGACGACTGTGGAAAACTCATCTGTCACACTTTGAAACTACTCGCTGGCTGGAAGAAGATAGCATTGCTGCACATCCTTTAGGACACAGATGTGGGCCTCTTTAGTGGGTCTTGTGTTAGGTGCCAAGACCTCTTACATGGGCTTATGGGGGGGGTCTTCAATAAATGTAGTCAGCACTGTTTTCTGCATCCAGTGTGGTTGCATTTCTCACCTAAGAGTAATCAAAATTGTTTGTCATCCTCCTTGGCTTATTGGATGAAATGTCTCATTCTTTTGGGACACGACAGGAGAAAGATTTAGTGAGTTTTAGAGGCTTCAGGGTAGAGATTCCAAGTGGAATGGTTGTGGCATAGTTTAAGCTGAATAAATGACTTCGGTTTGGGGCAGTTTTCCTGCTTTTTGTAAAGCCATGGCCAATTGTCTCCTGTAGTGACCATTGGTTCAGGCATATTGTGCTTTGTAGGGACAAATGTGCAGTTGTTTGTGTCAAAAGCCTAAAAATTACAAACTTGTAAATTTTGTGTATATAAACTAGCTGTAACCTGACTATCCTTTGTGTTTACTGTTTTTATAATTTTTTTCCTTTTGAAAATGAAAGTGTGGTTCAGGATGGCACTTTGAATAATGTAAATCAGTGGGAGGTGGACTTTCTTTACTCCGGTCTTTTTTTTTTTTTAGAAGTTTTATTATTTTTAAAGTGCCTCCCACCTAGGGCTAGGCCATGACCCTTTGGGTACGAGAGCCTAACTTCATAGGACTCAATCTGTTGCAAAGTGCAGTCACTTCTGGAAATTAACCTTAATGCAGGTCAGCATGTGAAATGTTAGTTTTGACATATGTCAAGTAGCATTCAGGGATTGATTGGTCCCGTTTGCCCTCAGATCAGTTGTCCTTGAATTTCAAGACCTGCTACTACTGGTTTTATTAAATCAGAGTATTTAATTCTTGCATGTTTGTATCTAATTTTTAAAAGAAAGAATGAGCACACTTTAACCAATGACTTACGGTTACCCTTTTTCCTTTAACCATAGATTCTGAAAGCTTCATGTATTTTAATTTAGATTTGGTGTTTTTAAGGGTTCTGAGCATGAGGCTAGCAGGTAATCTGCAGGATTCATTTGTTCATCATGGCTGGCTGACTTCTCCATAGATTCATAACAGTATTTTTTATCTTGCTTCCCTGCAATTTGTATCAGCTGTTTAACTTTGAGCTGAGGGGGGAGGAGCAAGGAGAAGGAAACTTGAAACATTTTCCCTCATAGTTCCATCAGTGTGGGCTTTGAGAGAGTCTTGAAGCATTGTACCCAGTGGTATAATGACTTTCAACCGAGGCCGAAGAAAGGCAAAACCTTTAACTGATAGAAGGATATATATGGAATGTTGGAAAGCTGGAACCAAGTGTATGTTTTCAAGGGCTGAGGTGAAGGGAAGATTTGTACAAGATAGTGTTTAAAACAGCTTAATGTCATTTGATTTTCTCTTTACGTTTTGTACACTAATGGACAATTCTGGCATTTTATCTGGAAAATTTCAGGGTCAACCTCCTATGGAATCAGGATTTTTAGCAAGTTTGCTTGTGACTTTATCTTGGCTTTTAGTAATCACTTTAGCTGGTCCTCTGGTCACAGATACTATGCTGTCCAGGCTATACCTTCATCACTCTAGGATCTTAAAGTGCTATGTTACCTTCTGGTTATGAATATTTATTAAGGTTGGAATTACATTTCATTGATTGTTTAGATCACAGTTCAGCTCCTGTAGAAAACAACTGTAAAGCTGTCTGAAGACCATGCAAGAGGCAAAATAAAACTTGAAGTGAATGTGTGTAGTGGTGTACTGTGTAAACCTGGTGTCCTGTTTCTGCCTCCTACCTTTTCTCCTGCTCTTCATGCCTCACCTACAAGCAAGGATTCCTCCTTTTTACAGCTGTTCCAAGTTAGGGACTGGATCTTGAAGGCAAAAGGTCAAAGCAGACTAGTTTTTGGCCATGGTTATCAGTTGAGTGTGGATTAGTGCAGCTAGTTTGAGTGAGTTCCCGCCAACTAATAGGATAAGTAACACAGTTTGCTTGATTCTTTGGTCAAAAGGCAAAAGATGGGGGGAGTAACCCAAATGATGAGACAGAGGAGTCCAAGGCAGAAGGATGTTCTTGGGCCGATTGGGAATGACAAGCTCGAAAGTGTGCGTCAGCCAGAATGTGCGGTTAGCTCTCCACCTGAGTTACCGTCCTCTGCTAGCAAGCGCCAGCATCCAGCCAGGATCTGAAGCTCAATGAAGGTAGGCCATTCGGATAGTAAGATGCAGGGTGGTTAGAGCAGGAAGCATACATATCTAGGAGAGAACGGAGTGGTTTGGGTAGAAAATACTCTGAATTCAAAGTCTTCCTTCAGGCTTGTTGGCTCTCTTGGAGCAAAGGCAAATCTGAGCACATTTCCTTTGCTTTTATAAGAAAAACGCTGCCCTGAAATGCCTTTGCTGGGGCAGTTGGAAGCGTTCCCATTTTTATATCCAGTCTCCTTTAATGAAAGCTTACCCTGGGTTGTGAATGTGGATACATACACTAGAGGGTAAGAGGAACGAGAGAAAATGGAGGCAGGAGCCGCCCTCATGCCGTGGTCATGGCAATGAGCAAGGACGTTTACATAAATCCCCAAATCCATGCTTCTGTGATGTTACGTCCTCCTTTTGCGGTCTGGACACACAGGTCTGAGCAGAGGCCGCGGGCTCCTGGACGAAGAAGCCCTGGACCGGTCACGTCTCGGTCCCTCTTCCCTTTGTCGCGAACGTCTCCTTTAATAGGCGGGTCGGAACCGGCCGAGAGTCCGTCGCTTCGTACGTGTCGGGGGCGGAGTTCCCGGACGGCCCTTGCAGCATGGCCGCCGGCGCCGCCGCCGCCTTGGCCTTCTTGAGTCAGGAGAGCCGAGCCCGCGCCGGGGCGGGCGGGGGTCTGCGGGCCCCAGCTCCGGTCACGATGGACAGTTTTTTTTTCGGTATTGAAGAAAGGAGGGAATGAGGGTGGTGCGGGGACGGTAAGAGGTAGGGCTAAGGTACAGGAATGCAGATAGGTGCATGACTTAGGTAGGGGCGGAGGGGGCCTCGCACGCGGCAGCTCGCGCGGAAGCGGGTGGCGAGACCCCCGCCCCAGATGTGCAGGGCGGGGCCCAGGGCCGAGAGCCCCAGGTGTTCCTGAGAAGTGGGCGTGTAAATGGCCGGTCAGTCCATGGTTGCACGTGACAGAGGTTTGGTGAAACGTGCTTCCCCCCCCCCCCCCCCCTTCCGGTTGTCTCTTCCAGGCTGTGAGCTCTCTGGCCACACCCGCTCTTTCACCTTCAAAGTAGAGGAAGAGGATGATGCGGAGCACGTGCTGGCTTTGACCATGGTGAGGGGTAGGGAAGGGGGCTGGTGGTGAATAACTTGAGCAGGCAACTGGTGGGCGTCTACCCGTCCCCCCACCCCCTTTACTGGGAGTCACCCCCTCTGCCTCCCCCCCACATGGGTGGCTCCCCTGGCTATGTGATTCAGGGACCTCAGAGGCTGGGCAAGTTCTCGGGTAGATGCCTCCATTTGTGGTGTCAACCTTCGCCTGGAGAGACCCCGAGGTCCTGTGTACCCTTCCCAGCTCTGCCTCACCGAGGGAGCCAAAGATGAGTGTAATGTGGTGGAAGTCGTGGCCCAGAACCATGACCATCAGGAGATTGCAGTCCCCGTAGCCAACCTCAAGTTGTCCTGCCAACCCATGGTGAGTTCTCTGGACATACCTGGTGGGGGAGGGTAGGAATTGAGGACTTTACGACTCATCACAAGATGGGGTAGGCCAGGCCTTCATCCTTGTCTTCCTCGCAGCTCAGCTTGGATGACTTCCAGCTCCAACCACCAGTAACCTTCCGCCTGAAGTCAGGTTCTGGCCCTGTGCGGATCACTGGGCGGCACCAGATTGGTGAGAGCCTTCTCCTTTGCCTCCAGTGGACTATCCATCAGGGCTCCCCCTACGGGACCCTCCTACCCCATCCCAACTTTATCTCCCAGTGCAGCTCTCATAGAGGCCCTGCCTGATGTGCCCTCCACTTTCTGTCCTACTCAAGCCTGCCTCCTCCATGGAACCTGTCCCAGCTTCTCCAGCTCCAGTGATGTGGGGTCCTTTGGCTCTTTGTCACCCAGTTTAGTCTCTGAGGTTCTTCCCACCTAGATCATAAGCTCTGAGAAGTCAGGGTCAATACAAGCCTACCACCACAGGGCATGAATAAATGACGTGGTATGAAGGGGGTCTGGCTTTAAGTTTCTTCTCCCCACCCTTTACTGCTTGTGTGCCCACCAGTTACGATAAGCAATGACGTTTCTGAGGAAGAAGAGAGCGAAGAAGAAGGGAGTGAGGAGGAGGAGGTTGAGTTGTGCCCCATCCTGCCTGCCAAGAAGCAAGGGGCCAGGCCCTAGCCCTCCTTGGTGAGTGGGGGAAGGGGTGCCCAGCAGAGTCTGGGAGGGGACAAGAGGAGCAGGTGAGGGCCTAGCTGCTAACTCCTTGTTTGCTCTCCTCAGGTCAGCTAGCTGCTTGCCACATGCGCCATGCACCATGTTCCTGTACAAGTTTCAAGAATTTTAAATGTCTTTTCCATTGAAGAGGAGGAGTGGGAGTGGGGGGTCTCGGGCTGGTGCTAGTGACAGGGGGTCCCATTCTCCATAGGGTCCTGGTGTTCCCTATACCATGCCTGGGCTTTTCTCTAGGAGTGGGAGGACCTGAACTTCTACCCTGACCCTCTCTCCCCATTTGCCTTTGAGGTTGGAGGTCAGCATCTGAAGCTCAGGACTGCACATTTTTAACACTTTTTACATTTTTGGATAAAGGTTGAAATAAACTGATGTGGAGTTTTTTTGCAACTCATTTGTGTGGCTTCTTTCCCAGCTGGGATTCATTTTGCAACTCATTTGAGTGGCATTCCCCAAGGGACCACCAGGTGGCACTGTGGCAGCACCGAGGGTGGCCCTGGGCCTGGGGGAGGGCGAGGAAATGCGGGTCCCGCTATCCCCAGGGCCCCAGGGCTAGGCCGGGCTTGGGCCCCAACTGCCTCCCAACACCCAGCCCATTCCCAGTCCCTACAGGTGGGGGTGGGCCATTCCAGGAGGTTATCAGCGTCCAAACAAGGGGTCTGAGCCTCTGTCAGCACTCAGGCTGATGGGCAGGGGGGCAGATAAGGTGGCTTAAGCAGCCCAAGGAATGTGCATCCCTAGCCCCATGAGGGGGCTCAGGCCCTGAGAGGACCTGTGAGGGGTAGGGCAGAGGCCAGTCTCTGCTCCTCCTTCCAGTCTTGCAGGCTGTCTCTGAGCCAGTCTGGGCCCTTAGAAATTTGATTCCGGGGGCCAGATGGAGGGGGCTGGCCAGATTGGGTGACAGGGAAACCAGAATCCGGGTGGCCTGGCATATGGGGGCAGAGAGGAGCCCCTGGGATTTAGCCTCCCGGGCTAAGGGGTTCCTGCCCCCCACCACACCGCCTGGTCTGAGGGGGTCTCTGGTGCCTGGAGTCAGGTGGTTCTGGGGCTTGGCGGCTGCTGCTGTGCCAGGAAGAGAAAGGGATGTACCTGGTGTGAGCCTGAATGTGTATATGACCAACTCTGGGGTCAGTAGTTCAGCAGCTGTGTTGATGGGGGATGGGGGTGCCCCACAAACAAACAAACAAACAAAAGGTTACCTCCTGAGACGGCCTGGGGCCAGACATACTGAGGATGGACAGAGAACAGTGTCTGGTGGGGCCAGGCCCACTCCCTTCCACACCCGCTGCTGGGCAAATGAATGAATAAGTGGGAGGGGTCCCTAGGTAACCTAAGGGGGCTGGTATCCGGGCAGGTGAGATAAACTTTGGGAAGAGTGTCCTCACAACACGGAAAAGCACTCCTTCAACATCCCTAGAGGAGGTTCCCATCTGCCTATGGTTAGGAGCAAAGAGGTCCGATGTTTAACCTCCCTTTTTCCTCAAGTTGAGGATAAAGGAAGATGATCCCTCTCTGTGTTACAGTGATCAGAGTCACAGGCGTCTTTCTCCTCTCCAGGAGGAATTTCCCGAAGTGCTTCCACGGGGAACCAGGGTGGAGGGGGCAGCCGGGCTTGGAATCATTCAGCTTCCCTGTGGCTAGGGTCGGGAGGGAGGGGGAAGGTGGGGCTGGCGCCCCCTGGTGGGTGAGGTTGAAACCGCCTGCGGCCGTGCTGCTGCCCCTGCCGCTTCCCTCCCTAGGCGCTCTAGGCGTGCGGCGCGGCGCAGGAGCCTACGCGCCCTGAGAGTGGTTTGGCCAGCCGAAGTTTAGGCGGAAAGCGAGGAATAAGTCACTAAGGCTGACGTCATTCGTTCGTTCATTTATTCATTCACTGGAAGCGCTCCTGTTAGAGCCCTTCCCTTCCTCCTCTCGCCTATATTGCCTCCAAAGTCCTCCGCACGTGCTTGGTTGGTGGCGCGGGAGATTGGCTGAGCGCAGCGCAGTCATCTCTCCGGGGAAGCCTCCCCGGCAGACCCGGCTACCGCCTGCGCGTGGCCCCGCCCCAATATTTACCCCCCGCCACGCCGCTGATCGCTCATTGTAAGCCTTAACTGTTTTCTTGGTGGGTCTTCTCGCGGCCCGGGCCGGCGCCGAGCACTCCTGCCCACAGTGGGGGCCCAATCCACATCTGCCCTTTCGTCCAGGAGTTTCCCGGCCCGATGGGGCGCCCCGCGGACAGAGTTGGGAATTGTTTTTTCTCCTTCCCCATCCCCGCCTCTCCTGGATCCCCCTTTTTGCCCCTTCAGCGCACAGTAGGAGTGCTGCCAATTCACTTTGGCCTCAGAGCGCTAAGGGATGAGGGCGTACGCAGGGGTTTGCAGACCGCTGGAGGAGGGGCAGTCGTGTATTTGGGGGCGAAAGGGGGACAACTCCCAGACGGGGGCCCAAGTGCTTAACGCAGTCTCGGCGATTTGCATTTGAACGGTCGGCTGAGAGTCCGCGGCGCTTTGAACGCCGGGCGCAGGAGGCGCGCGTTGGAGCGAGCGGCAGTCCCGGCTGGTGTGGATTTGAGGGGCCCGGGGTGGGCCGGGCGGGGGGTGGCGAGGGATGCGTTTAGAAAGAGGCTGAAGGTGTGTGTTTGGGTTCCCGCGAGGGCGTATTTGCGAAGAGGGGCTGTTTGTGTTGGCGAGAAGTGTGTGTTTGTGTTTGCAGGAGGCGAGGGAGTGTGTGTGTGTGTTTGTGTGTGTGTATTTGTGTTTTCAGAGTGTAGGGGCGGCCGGGAAAGGTGGCCGGGCTGTCACTCAGCGATCAGGTTGACAGCGCTCCCTCATCAGGGCCAGGGAGCTCTGATTGCAGATTCGAGGAAACAAAATAGCAATTGTAATTACGGGGCTTTGATAAGATAAAGGAAGGAGAGAGCTGGCCGGGAGGCGAGCAAGCGAGGGAGGGAGAGTGGCCTGCTGGGGCCCCGATGGAGTATTTGCATCTGTCACTCACGGGGTCGGGGTGCCCGGACAGTACCAGGAGCCCCCTCCAGAGACACGGACTTTTGGGGAGATGAGAAGAGTCCCTCCAAATTGACGAAGGTCCAGTTCAAGATAAGTTCTCCAAATGTAAAGGAATTCTGGTCTTGTAGAGGGTCCTTGGTGGAGGATAATGTGTGGGATTAAAATCCTGACCTCCACACTGTTAGGCCCTAGGGTGCCCATCTCCTCTGGGGGACAGGGGAGAGGTTGGGTTAAGATCATTGAAGTTCTTCCCAGGGATTTCAGACCCTTATGGGGGCTCTAAAACCAGGGTTGGACCAGGTGCTCTGGCCTCCACTCCCACTCCAGGGAAAGGCAGGTGCCCAGAGGAACTCTAGTGTGCACAGACCTGGAGTCACAACCAAAGATGGCCTGGATGCCCTCAGCCCTGCCTGGGTCCTGCTGCCTGCTGTTCTCATCAGACTATTTTGAGAGGGCTGGGTCCTTGGTGGGGAGAAGGCCCTTCCCATCCCCTGTGCTCCATCTCTCCACTCATTCGCTCATTAATGCTGACAAATACACATTTTCTAGTGCCTACTATGTGCAGGGTATGAGGTTAAGATGGTGAGCATCTTCCCTGCTTGAAGAAGAGCATCTGGGGAGGCAGACATTCAGCAAGTGGCCCACAGGCCTCTAAGACAGAGGAGCACAATAAAGGAAAAGGGCTGGGCTCGGCTGTGCTGTGGGCACTGGAGCCTGCTTCACCTGTCTGTCCCATAATGGGCCCACCTTCCAGCAGGGTTGAGGGGAGACAGTGCAAGCCTAGCCTTTAGCAAATCCAAGTTCTCAATAAATGGTGGTGCTTATGGTTATTATCTATTGAGGGAGGTGGTGAGGGTAAGTCTCCCTGGGGAAGCTGCGCGTGGGCTGAGGTCTAAGTGCTGAGCCAGTTTCCCCATTCATTGAATACTAACTGCAGAACCACCCTGCCCAGTTATGTGCCATGAGCAGCAAGTTCCCAGCTCATAAGACATGATCCTCACCTGGAGGTCTGTATGGGCAAGAGCCAGCTGAGTGAACAGACTTGGGGGGGGGTGGGCACAAATGGGTTCAGGAAGTCTACTTCTCTGAGGAGGGATGAGATCTTGGGACAAGTCCCCTGACTCTGTTTTCCCATCTATATTTTGTTCAGTGTTAGCATTATGGCTGGGAGTGGGGAAGATGGAGCACAGGCAAAGGGGAGGTAGGCAGAACTTGGCTGTGCTGCTGGACAAGGGCCTGACTACTGCCTCTGGCCTAATCGTTTCCTGGGACCACCTCATCCCCCCCAGCCCAACCCCAAGGACATGGGGGGCCAGCAGGGCAGGGGAGGTCATGGGCGAAGGCAGCAGCTGGGTAGGGCATCAGTGGCTCCATCTGCTCCTCAGAAGTATCTATCCCAGGGCACCTCTGCCCATCCAGGCTTCTCCCAAAGATGCACCATGGCTCAGGGTCTCCAGAGTCCCTAGAGGAAAGCAATGAGGGGCTGGGGAAGGCTTAGACAAATCCCTGCCTCCTTTGACACTCCCCCCCTCCCCCTGTTAATGCAAAGCACTAGTCCATGTCTAGTGTACTGTAGGTGTGTAAATACCTGTTAAGTGCACAAACAATGGGACTCAGAGGGAAATGCTGGCTGACCTGTATCTAAGTCTCTTCCCCAGGAAAAACAGCTGAGAGTAGTTATTTTTGCCCCCTCTGCCTGCTGCTTTGGAGGGGTGGCAGAGGGACCTCTGGGCTCTGCCACATAGGTGGCTCGTGGTTCCTCTTAAACTTCAGGCTAGTGTGGGTATGGGGGCAGAGGGGGCATAGTGGCAGGGGTGATGGTGATAATGGGGGCGGGGGCCGGGGTAAAGGAGACATTTCTCTCTCTCAGGGCCTTCTTGAAAGACTGAGGGAGACACGGGAGACCGGTAAGGCGGGGTACTCAGCAGAAAGATGGGGGGGTCGGGTCCCCATCGCACACCCACGCACTGCCGGGGAGACCAGCGCACAGCCTTTCATTCCAGAGTTAGCGGCCACTTCCAGGGAGCAGGCCCAGCCGAAGCACACAGTAGGTGGCTCAGAGACCCTCCATATAGCCTAAGGCGTAAGCAGACCGGGCCCCACGCTGGAGACCTGGGCCCTTCCGACTCTGGAGCACCGGCGGTCCAGGAAACCCCAGCCGAGGGTCTCGGGACCCCACGGAGCCCGCGGCCCGAGGCGCCCCCCATCCCCGCGTGCCCAGACCCCAAGAGCGCGCGAAGGGACCGGCCCAGGATGGGGGCAGGCGCCCACACTCGTCGCCCCCGCCCCTCCCGCGGGTCCCCAGACCCCTCCCCTAGCCTGGACCCCCAATCCCAGACCCGCCGGCCGCCCCGCCCCGGTCCGCCCCGCCCCCGCCCAGGGCTGCGTCCCGGCCCCAGCTCCCAGCCGGGGGCTGCGGGCTCCGGCCGCCCGCCCCGCGCTCCCCCTCGCGCCCGGTGCGGCGCCCCCCGCCCCCACCCCTCCCCCTCCCTTCCCACCTACCCACCCACCCTGCCGGCCCGTTACCCTCCCGCCTGCTCCGGCTCCTGAGCAGCCAGCGGCCACCGGCTCCGCCAGCGGCGCAGAGCGACTCAGCGCGGCGCGGCGCGGCGAGCTCGACATTCCACGGGACCCGCGGAACCGCGTCGGGATCGCCGCTGGTCTCCCGCACCCGAGCCTTCCTCGGTCGCCGCTGCCCTCGGCTCGTCCGTCCGCGGCCGCCCGCGGGCCGGCGTGATCCCGCCGGGGCTCTCCGTGCTCCCCGGGCCGCGCGCCATGGGCAGCCCCCGCTCCGCGCTGAGCTGCCTGTGAGTACCGCCGCCACCCCCGCGGCCCCGCCGGCCAGCTCCGCGCCCTCTCGGCTCACACCGGCCCCTCTCTCTCCCGCCCGCTTTTGTCTCCCACAGGCTATTGCACTTGCTGGTTCTCTGCCTTCAAGCCCAGGTAAGGCGCACTGCGCGGAGGCGGGGGCCGGGGGGCCGGCGGGGGACGCCAGTTGACAATGTCGGGCAGGGGCACGAGGACGGACCCTGCGGCCGGCGCGGCAGGGCTGGAAGGAACCTTAGCAGTCCAGCCCCGAACTACCCCGAGGAGGGAGCTAAGGAACAGAGAGGTAGCGCCCTGCCTAAGGTCACACAGCCAGGGAGTGGCAAGTCTAGAACCCGAGGTCTCGGAGTCCAGCGCTGTCTCGCACGCAGCCTAGGCCAGGTTGGGGTGGATGGGGAACTCTACAGGCAGCCACACCTGGTCGCCGAGGAAGGGGGCATCCGGGGCCAGGGGGCGTTCGTTGTCAGAAGTCCAGGTGACTGCCGCAGGGACCCTCTCCGCGGCTCTCTAGGGAGACTTGCGGCGGGTCTGGCCGAAAGATCAGGTACCCAGGCCCTCTACGCTCTCAACATTTGCTCCGTAAATTTGTCTTTATAAATGTCAGGGGTCGGGCAGCGCTGCCTCTCTACTTAAAAGCGCCCTGCTCTTCTAGGAAGGCCCGGGCGGGGGGCCTGCGCTGGGCAGGGAGCTCGCTTCCCTGTTCCGAGCTGGCCGGGAGTCCCAGGGTGTTTCCCAACAGGTGGGTCCAGATCCTTTCCCATCGCGGGCTCATCCATGCTAGGTTGGGTCTGTTCGACTTTCCCGGGTCGGGGGTGGTGGCCCGACCTGTTGGTGGGATCCCCAGCCCCTGCCGGCTGCCTGGGGCAGTGGAGGGGGGTGCAGGGCGATGGGGGCCACTTGGGCCCCTGGGCGGAGTAGCATTATAATGGCGTGTTGTGTATTTTTCAATTTCCTAAAGGTAACTGTTCAGTCCTCACCTAATTTTACACAGCATGTGAGGGAGCAGAGCCTGGTGACGGATCAGCTCAGCCGCCGCCTCATCCGGACCTACCAGCTCTACAGCCGCACCAGCGGGAAGCACGTGCAGGTCCTGGCCAACAAGCGCATCAACGCCATGGCGGAAGACGGGGACCCCTTCGGTAAGGCGCGCAGCACCGCGGCGGGGTAAAGGGAGCTTGTGGAACACGCCTTCCGGCTCCGGCTGGCCTGCCGTGACTGCACTCGCCAGGCCCCGTCTGCGCTGGCCAGAGGCCTGCAGGCGTCCCAGCTCAGAACGGAAGGAGTTAAGACAACGGAGCGTCTGGGGGGTCAGCTGAAGGGAGGGCTGGGGAAGGGACCTCGGGGAGTAGTTGGCCCACAGGTGCCCCTTCCCTGCCCAGCAGATGACTGAATCCAGGAATCTCCCTTTACACCTCCCCCTCTGTACACCCCTCCCCTGCTGCAGGTGGAGGCAAAGGGTTCAGGGGAGGGGGCCCAGGTTTGAGGGAAGCTCTTGAAAGAGGATATGTCACCAGGGCCCACAAAAGGAGAGTGGGAAAGAGAAGGGAGAGAAATCCCCCCAACTCTCCCAGCTTGAGGGGTGCTGTGAACCTTAAACACTTTGATCAGAAGGGTCAATTACACAGGGGAACTAGGCTTGGAAAGGGGCCCTCCCTGCTGCACTTACCCAGGGACCCAGGCGGCCGGTCAGAGCGGGCTCGCGCCTCCCCGCGGGCTGCTGAGGACAGGGAGCTACTGCCGGCCGAGAGGCTGAGGACTGATTGATTTCTAAAACATTCAATATTCCTGCCTTGAAACAAGGCCAATTTCCAGAGTCCTGGATGTACCAGGAGAAAAGCAAGCCCTCTGGGCGGCTGGTGTTGTTTTTAGAGAGCGATTATTGTGAGTTTAAAAACCTTTAAATAATGACCAAGTTAAACAAGCATGAAAGGAGAGGGGAAGACTCTATTAAAATGTAATAAAAAGGTGAGGCATTTTAAGAGCTAAGAAGAAAAATGAAGAATGATATAAAACAGAAAAAGAACGAGCCTTTTTTTCAGATGTGGAGTTTGAAAGGGGTTGCAAGTCTGTAAATGTTAAAAAAGAGGCTCAAGATTGTTCTCTATGAATCTCTGGAGAGACCCCCGCGTCTGGCAGAGCGATTAAAACTCTTCTTACTTTCACCTTTTTTAACATTTCCTGAATACTTTCTCCTCTTCTCGAGCCAGTTTGGGGGATCGAGTATGTCTCGCTGCATTTTTTCTGCATCGACGTAGCTGACTTCCCTTCAAAGCTGGAGAAGGAGACATAATTTTCCCGGGATAAATCTGTCACTGGGGTGGAAGAAGAGGTTTGAAAATGTTAAGCTTTCCAAAAGCCCGGGCGGGAAAGCCGCTGTAAACTGCGGCCCCAGCTCCCCAGATCGGTCCAGGAAGGAGAGTGGGGGACTCTCGGCAGTGGGGGTGGGGGCGGCCTGCCTGGTGGCCGAGCTCCCCCGCTGGGCTGGCAGGGCCAGCCTCCCATCCCTTTGTCCCTCTAAACTGGCTGCTTGCTGCCCTTCTCAGCTTCCAAGGAAAGGGGATGAAGGCCTGGCCCCTCCTGGGTTTGCTCCATTGGAGCAAATGGTTCAGCATCCTTGGGTTTGGAGGAGGAGGAAGAGGTTAAGCTGGCCATGGAGAAACTCGTCTTCAGACATCAGAGGTCTGATGCCCACTTCTCTCTTTACGAGTATAGGAGGCTTCCCATGTTCCTGCCTGCCGGGCAGGAGTAGGAGCTGGAGGGCCCCAGAGCAGAGGCTTAGGGTGGGCAGCCAGGATGGGAAGAGTCTGGGAGAGAATGGCAGAGAGGTCCCAGTTGCTTCCTTACAGGCCCCAGGAAGGAAGAGAGGGGCCTACTCCACCCCAATCTGCCCCATTTGGTCAGAATCTTCAGAGTGGGATCCTCTTGTCCATTCTCCAGTCAGCGTCCTTCCTGGCCCTTAGAAGCAGCCACTCCTTGCTCTGGAAGGCAGACCAGGAGAGGGATGAGCAGACTGTCTGGGTCCAAGAGGAGGTGGGTGGGAGGGGAGGTGACAGATGCCTTTCCCTGGCTGACTTGGAGCCAGACTGGGGACTTGACCACTGGGTCCCAACTCTGTGCTTATGTGAAGTGGGGGTGGTAGGCACAGGCTGGGCAGTAAGGGCTGCATTGCTAACCTGGATGCCCACCCCCAGCCCCCACCCCCTTTAGTTTCAGAGACAGAAATGGTGCCACCTTGTCCGAGCAGGCTGGGAAGCAGCTCTGAAGTCCTAGCCCCTTCTGTCCCATCCCAAACAGATACGTCAGCCCTCACTCCCTTCTTGCGGACAGGCTCCAAGGGTGGCTGGCATTATGCAGAGAGTGGACAGGGACCTTGGCTTCTGTGGCAAGTTGGCTGTCTAAGGGGTGGGGGAGGGGGAAGAAGGCAGAGAATCCAGCTCCCTGTCTCCTGGCTGTCCAGACTGAGAGGCCAGCGCACCTGATTTTCTCCCTTCCTCACCCGCAGAAAGTCTTTGGTCACTAGGGTGAGAAGCCCAGCTGTGATGGAGTCTGAAACAGACATGGCTATTGAGGTGTTGATTCCTGGACCCTGGGACTGGGGACTGTAGTGCCTGGGATCTGCAGGGAAGAGGCAGAAACCTCCCGGCTGGGGGGTTCTGGGAAAGAAGCTGGCTATAGGCTATGTGTAGGGAGAGCTGTCCCCATCCCCGTCGCCTTCTCAGCAGAGCAGGGGTAGGGGTGTGGGAGTGGCCAAGGCTGTGAGTTAGAACTCGAGGTGCCAGAAACAGGAGAGAGTGCTTTCACGCTTGGACTGGAGGTCACCACTGCACCCCAAGGTTTATAATGATCTGTGAGGCATGTGCACATAATATTTTGAGTTGGAAGGATCCTCAGAGATCTTTTGATTAGTAGTAAAACTCTAGTCATGAAGCCTTGACATAAAAGTCATTACTGTCTGGTTTTTAAAGAGGGTCTTTTCAATTTGCTGGTCCCAAGACCCCTTTGCAGAACCCAGTTTGTATGCCATGATCTTGTCTATCCCCCTCGGTAAACCCAGGTGAGGGGCCTGAGGCCCAGAAAGGGAACTTGATGTTTCCTGGGGTTGCCCAGAATATTAGTAGCTGGGCTGGGACTGGAGCCCACGTCTTGGGTATCTGGCCTTGGAGCAGTTGCTGCTGGGATGTGATAAGTCTGTGGGCCAGCTGAGGGGAGGACATGGAACAGTGGGGGTCAGGGAGCTTCCAATAACCGTCCCCTCACCTTCCTCGACAGCAAAGCTCATTGTGGAGACAGATACCTTTGGGAGCAGGGTTCGAGTCCGAGGAGCTGAGACGGGCCTCTACATCTGCATGAACAAGAAGGGGAAGCTGATTGCCAAGGTGAGGCCCCAGAAGGAAGGGGGCCCTGGGGCCTGGGAGGTGGGCTGGACTGCCTGAGCTCCTCCAGGATCCCAACAGGGTGGGCAGAGAGACACAGGGCCACCTTGGGGTTACCTAATGATTCGGTGGGGGGTTCAAGGAGGTGAGGGAGAAGGAAACTGCTTGAGAGATGAAAAGCTATAAAGGCAAAGGAGGAAGAAGGAAGGCTAGGGAAGGGGCTGGGGGGGTTGGTAAATTCCATATATCTTTTTAACAAATCGCCAAATTGCTTTGCTATTATGTCCAATTACATGGTACCAGCAATTGGAATGTTCAGTAAGCCGCAGGCCCAGCCCCTAGGCCGAGCTCTGAAATGGCCCCATTAGTCACGGCTCCTCTCCAGCCTCGAGCTCCCTGCTTCCTGGGCTTCGGGGCCTTGGGGCGCCGCAACTCTTGGAAGGCCTCCCCTCCCCCATAGGGTGGCTGCCCTGGGGGCGGGAGGCCCAGTCCTGAGGGCCTGAGGAGGGCAGGTGGGGAAATGCGTCCTAGCAGCTCAGGCCAGACTGATGGGCAGGAGGCCAGGGCAGGCAGGGTCTGGGCCCCATCTCTGCCTCTCTGTCTTGGGGCCCAGCCCCTCGGTAGACAACCATGTGTCGCTGCTGCCCAGGAGGACAGGAAGTTGCCGGGTGGGCTGCGGGTTGTGAGGGATTAGAGAGCCGGTGCCCGGGCAGGGGGTGGGGCCGCAGCTCCTGCCCACCCTGCCATCTGCTGGGGTGCCCACCTGCTGTCTGGGGCCGCCTGCCCTCTGCCTCTGGCGGGCGGGGGAGGGCGGGGGCTCAGAGAGAGCCCAGTAACGCCTTGTCTGGCCCCCATGCCTGCAGAGCAACGGCAAGGGCAAGGATTGTGTCTTCACGGAGATCGTGCTGGAGAACAACTACACGGCCCTGCAGAACGCCAAGTACGAGGGCTGGTACATGGCCTTCACCCGCAAGGGCCGGCCCCGCAAGGGCTCCAAGACGCGGCAGCACCAGCGCGAGGTCCACTTCATGAAGCGGCTGCCGCGCGGCCACCACACCACCGAGCAGAGCCTGCGCTTCGAGTTCCTCAACTACCCGCCCTTCACGCGCAGCCTGCGCGGCAGCCAGAGGACTTGGGCCCCCGAGCCCCGATAGGGCCTGCCCGGCCCCTCCCCGCGGCCCCAGCGCAGAGATTTTCGTCTGATGGGAGCACAGACAGAGAAACTCGAGCAAGATGAGGTCTGCGCTACTGAAGGCTGGGGAGGAGCTGGGGGAGCCCCGGGTTCTCGTTGTTGATAATTGTTTGCTGTTGGGTTTTTTTGTTTTTCTTGTTTTGTTTTTGTTTGTTTTTTTAAAAAACAAAAGAGAGGCTCTATTTTTGTATTCCACTTGGCTGTGGTGTCTGTCTTCTTAACTCTCAGGAAGGTCTGTTAGTGGCCCGGACTGGGGTTCCAGAGGGGGTTCCCTGGCCGTGGGGGGCTTTTTCTAGTCCAGCAGAGGTGCTCCTGAGACCCCAGCACCTGCGGGGCAAGCTGGCCAGGCAGCCAGGGACTCCACTGCACCCCAGGTGGGGGCGGGGAGGAAAGGGTTGCGGCTGAGGTCAAGGGTGTCAGTGAAGGTGGTTGTTGTGTATTAGTTGCTATTAAATGACTGAAGTATTTATTTAACTTGCATGTGAAAAATGTATGTTGGAGAGTGAGTCTGCTGGGGTCAGCCCCTCTCCCCCTGCCCTGCCCCAGCTAGTGGGTGGCTGGGAGATACAGCAAATGGGACACCAGCTCTGACTCTAGCCTGCTTTCAGCCTAAGGACCCATGCCTGTCAGCCGTCCCCATCACTGTCTCGGGAGGGGTTTTCCTGGGAGGACAGAAGCAGGGAAAGGGGCAAGAAGAGGCTCTTAGCTGGTCCTCGGAGCTCTCAGACATGGAGCTCATAGCTCTTAACAAGAGTCATTGGTAACACTTCCCCAGGCCACCTCTGGGCCAGAAATGATGACTCTGCCAGGTCCAGAGCTGCAATCATAGATTCAATGAGTCTTTGAAAAAGTACCTCTCTGTGTGTGCCTAGGTCTGTGTGGGAGACAGATCAGGGATGCCAGAGCTGGTTCTCCGAGTATCAAGCTCCAGAAAATGAAAGAAAAGAGCAGCTGCCAGGGTGCAATGTGGGGGTATGTTGGTGGGGGGACTGCCAAGGCTGGTGTTGACAATTGTGACATGAAACAAGTGTTAACTTTGGGAGATCTGGGTAGAGAGCTGTGAGCAGAAGGTGCTGAGCTCAGGTGCTGCAGAGAGCCCAGGGGGCTGTGGTCCAGGGAGAGACTGCTGACCTTGGAGAGATGGGGCCCAGGGGGAGGAACTGGGTGTGGGATGGGAGGGGAAGCTCAGGGGCCAAGAGCTGAACTCAAACTCTGCACTGGAGGAGAAGCAGCGGGTCGTGTCAGAAGGACTAGGCCGTGAGGGAGAACTGCAACGGAGGAAGGAAGACCAGGCCCGCTGTGGCTATGGTAGAGCAGGTCATGGTGTAGGCAAGAGGACTGGCCCACGGTGGGTGGAGGGGTATGTGTTTGGATGTGGACTGGTGACATTGGCATCACACTACACTGAGGGAGAGCCCAAGCCTGCAGGCAGCAGGTCTCCTGAAGGCAGAGCTGGCCCAGTCTTCATAACTGAAGCCTTCCATTCTGACTGCTTCTGCTGCCTCCTTTGAGGGTGCCCCTGGGCTGGTCCCTGACCCAATCCAGAAACTTCTTCCCTCGGGGCCTCTGTTCTTTGCCACCTCCTTTGGGTGAGGGTAACCCTAAGGCTTCCTAACCACGTGGACCTCCCAGAGTTGCAGCCACAAGTCCCAGGCTTGGGACATCCAGGCAGATCAGGAATTCCAGGGCTCAGTGAGAAGTCTTGGAGTAGAGAGGTTGGGGATCCCCTGGGTTCTGCCTATGCCGCCTCTTCTGGCCTGCTATCGGGGGCAGGGGCTCTGGATAGAGTAGGTTTCTCCTGGTGCATAGACACTGGGGATGTGGGGAGGGGGCTCTAGATCTCTCTCTTCCAGCTCCCCAGCTCTTAGTGCCTCCTCTTCTGCTCCATCCCCTCCCCTCCCCCTTTAATTAATTCTGGGTGAGCAGCCTGGCTTTATTGTGCAAGGAGCTGGGGTCTCACTGTGGGAAAAGTCACACCTTCTGAGCAGCTTCTGATGCCATGCAAATGAAGAGACCGTCCAGGAAACTCTTTCATCTGCACGGCCGCCTGTCCAGCCCCCAGCCCAGTAATTACCCACATTTCATTTGTTTGAGAGCAATTCTTAGGGGATGCGAGAGGATAGGAGGGAGTCTGGGGGGTGGAATGTCAGGCTCTCCCTGCCTGTGATCCTGGCCACAAAGTAGGGCCAGCCTGGGCCAAGGATGGTCACCGGCTAGGCCAAAGCTACTCCTGCAGGCCCGAGACTGGGGATGCCTGCGTACTCCAGGGTGGTGGGGTGGAACTGTGCCATGGTTGTGTTGAGGGAGAAGAGGTGGGCTGTCCAGAGAGCTGGGCCTGCATTATAGGAGAGAGATGACTGATGGGGGCAGCAGAGTAGAGGTGGACAGGAAGGTGGATATCTGGTCCTTGAGGCAGCCTGAGGCTTTGGGAAGGGGCTGACACCCAGCAGGACCCCAGGCCAGGGACCCATGGGGGCAGAGCCCAGAGTGGTGGGGCCAGGCTGGGCAAGGGCACCCACCACCTTGTTTATCTTTGCGTTGCTGCCTCCACAGAGCCCTCGCTAATGGGGTTTTACAGCCCACTCAAGCTGCAACTGGCCAAGAATCAATCATTACCGGCACTTAGTGGTTTGATAGTTAACAGCCTGAACTGAAGCCAAACTGGTTGTTAACTGTGATAACAACTGATTTCAAGGGGTTATTGCCGGCCCAATATGCTCAGCCCATTTATTTCAGGGAAAACAAGCAGGGAGCTGTTGCAAGTTTCAGAAAAAGGAAGAAGGCTGGGCTTTGCTCAGCCAAAAGGCCTGCCACTCTGTCTCAGAGTGGGTGCCGGCTGTGAGGGCCCTGGGGACCGGCTGAGGTGTGCATGGAGGCACAACCTCGCAGAATGTGTGGAGGACCTGTGTGTGGGCCCAGGTGGTCCACGCAGAATGCCCTCTCCAGTCCTCCCTTCTCCTCAGCGCTTAGCTTGTCCTGATTCCCCACCTCCCCTCCTCTTTCTCTTAGAGCAGCACTCCCCAGGAGGGCTTCACAGGGACCAACTCCCCATGAGGAGAAGCCCAGGCCTAGCGGCCAGGCCTCTACTTGTCTCCACTCAGCAGGTGGGGCTGGACCCCCCTCTCCCATTCCTCCCTCACCCAGGGCTCCCGGAGCCCTGCCAAGTCCAAGCCAGAAGCTTACCCTTCCTTTCAAAGCCAGCGAAGACGCCACCAAGCCTTGACTAGAAAGAATGAGCAAGAGTTCTCTCCTCTCCCTTCACCAGGTCCTGTCCATCTCTACCTTCTACCCTCAGCCAAATGACAGCAGGTAAGGCTATGTGGCCAAGCATCATTCTAGAATGCTGCTGCAGCAAAGGAACTCAGGAGTTCTCCACCGCCTACAGATAGACAACCTGAGGCCTGGAAGTCACACAGCTAGTGTCAAAGCTAGTACCAGAAACCAGGTCTTAATTCCCAGACTCAGGCTGCCTCTTGAGGACTGGAGGTCTTCCCCTAATTCCGTTCATTCCTTCACTATTTATCGACTGCCTATTATGTGCCAGGCTCTGTTCAGGATAGAGGGGACAAAGCAGGAAATACGAGACAAAACCTTGTCATTATGGAGCTCATATTCTTTTCGGGGAGGGGGCGGGACGCAGAGCAAACAGTGTGTAGTAAAGCAGACACTGACAACCACTAAGGGGAAAATGCAGAGGGGAAGGAGTGTGAAAGGGCGGGTAGACCTGTAGCAGCTTTACACAGGGTGGTCAAAGGAGGCCTCACTGAAAACTTAATCTTTGAGCACACCCCTGACCTAAGGCACTCAGATATCTGGGGACGGAGCCATCCCAGGCAGAGGGAACAGCAAGTGCAAAGGCCTGTTGCAGCAGAGGAAGAGGAAAGAGACCAGTGTGGCTGCAGCAAAGCGAGGGGAGGATGGGGGCAGGGGGTGAATGATAGAAGCTGAGGTGAGGCCAGAGAGACAGAAGGGGTGGCGGTGGAGGGTGGATCATGTTAGGCCATTGAGAAGACTTTAATTTTAACCCTGATAAGACAGCAGACCATGGGGCATTTTGAGCAGTAGAATGACATGATCTCAAGTTTTAACAAGATTGCTTTGGCTGCTGTGTTGAGAAGAGACAGCAGTGGGGCAAGGGAGACCAGTTGTGAAGTTATTGCAATAATCTAGGCCAGAGATATTAGCGGATTAGAGGTGGTGAGAAGAGATTGGAATTTTGGACATTTTTTGCCAGTAGAGACGGCGGGGAATTGTTGATGGACTTGAATGCGAGTTGTGAGAGAAAGAGAGGAGTCGAGGGGTTTCCAAGGATTTTAGCCTGAGCAATTGAAAGGGTGGAGGGGCCATTTACAGAGATGGAGAGGATTCTGGGAGGGGCAGATTTTGAGGGGAAGAGTAGGAGTTTAATTTTGAACATGTTAAGTCTGCACTCACAAAAGAAACATTCAAGTGGAGACATGGAGTAGGCAGATGCGTATGAGTCTGGAATTCAGGGGAGAGGTCTGGTGTGAAGATATAAATTTGGGAGTATTGAGCACACAGATGATTTCTAAAACCAGGAGATAGAACAGATTCGCTAGAGAGCGAGCACAGATGGAGAAGAGAAGAGCTCTAGGCCTGAGCCTTGGTACACGCCGAACATTTAGAGGTCAAGGGGAAGGGGGAACCAGCAAAGATGGATCAAGTGCGGCCCATGAGGTAGATGAGAGGGAGACCAGGAGAGTGTGATGTCCTGGTGATAGAGGAAAAAGACAGAACAATTTCTGAACTTGAAGCTCTAAGTGGGGTTTGAGAAGAGTTTTACCATCATCAACTGTCTCCCTTCCCTCTACCCGCACCAGCCCCAGGGCCAAGAGGAGGTGGCCAACAGGCAGGGTTGGTTTAACCTGGTTTCACTTGGGAGTCTCTTTGACTCTCCTCTCAGCCTCCTCCTGCCTCTCAGCTGGGTGCCTTTACCTCCGCAATGTATCTCAGATCCAATCCGTCTGTTCTTCTTGTCATCTACTGTCACCAGCCTGCTCCAAGCTGCCGTCAGCTCTTGTCTGGCTCATGGCAACAGGCCCCTAACTGCTCTCCCTGAGTCCTCTCCTCTCCCCCAATCCTCTCTCTATTCAGTAGCCACAATTTTCCAAACACAAATCTCATCGTGTTATCACCATATTTACAGGGGCTGAAGGGTGTGTCTTCTAGAATGGAATTCAAACTTCTTTCTATGGCCCACATGGTCCCCTGTCTGCCTATCCAACCTACAGCTTAATTCCACTCCCTCTCCCCTACTGCACTCTGGCCACACCTCCTCCCAGCTTCTCAAACAAGCCAGGCTCCTATCTGCCTCAGGGCCTTTGCACTTGTGTTCTCTCTGCTCAGAATGCTTTCCCTCTAGATCGTTGGATGGCTGACTGCTCATTATGTAGCTCTCTGCTGTCACTTCCTGCTTTATTTTGTTTATTATACTTATCGCTATCTGATATTATGTTGTTATTTATTTGTTTACTTGCTTTTGGTCTTTCTGTCCCTTCTAAGAGAACAGGGACTTTGACTTGATCATTGATGAATATCCAGTGCCTAGAACAGTGCCTGGCACTTCATGGGTGTTCAGTAAACATTGGTTCAAGCAATCAACTAATAAAATGAGAGTAGACTTGGAGGCTGTGAATAGACAGGGTGGGTTGGGAATTCTCTGTATCCGGGACTTGGGTCAAGCTTTAGGAAATGCCAGAAGGTCAGGGAGACTTGAAGATGGTCCTGGATGGGTGACCCTCTGGGCCCATCCAGACATGCACAGTCTTACTAAAAGAAGGTCCAAGGCTGTCTGACACAGGCTCACCCCCCTTTTCTCAAGCTGCAGGAAGTGTCTCCAAAACCTGGACAAATGAGCATCTAAGTAGGGCCTGCTGGGATGGACATCTCAAAACCTCCCAAAATTCTGGTTCCTTCCTCACAACTGGGTTTCCATAGCAACCAGGGGACTTCAAAGGAGAGAGTGAAGGGGAATTAAGAGCCAGAGAGCGAGAGGAGAGAGGAGGAGTAAGTGGTAGCAAGACAGATGGGGAGCTGGCAGGAACTCCGGGGCGATCCCCACTTCCCACGTTACTGTGGAGGGTTGTGCCAATAAGGTCCCTTTGGTCATCCCCTTCCCCATATGGATCTCTTGCTGAACCTCAAGAACTAACTCTCCATCTGGGAAGGCCGCAGAACTGACCCTCATGCATGCCCCGTCCTATAGGCTGGCAGATGCTGAGAAGGACTCAGGCTCAGTCCTGCAGTCCGTCTCCCCTCCCTCAGCCCCTCTCTCAGCAATAGTGAAACAAGCTGGGGCACTGGATCAGCTTGGGAAGCTGTGTTTCTTTTCTCTTCCTTCCTTGGCTGTAGGTGGGGGGCGGCGAGGTGATAGTAGGGAGGGGGTAGTCAGGACATTATCCTATGCCAAGTGAGGTCCCTGGCTTTGGTACTTGGAGACTAAGGGCCCCAAGCATGAAGGATCAGATGGTCTCCAGCTTGGGGCCTGGCTGGAGGTGCTCAGAACAAGGGGCCAGGACTGGACACTGCTTTGGGGGAGCAACGAGAGCTCTGCATGGTTTGTAGCTTCCTGCTACCTTGACCTCAGAGGATGAGAAAATGCCTGGGCCTGGGGCCTGGGAGGGGCAGAATGGCAAGCCCTCAAAGAGCCAGGGCACTGGGCCCTGAGACCCAAGCCAACTGCCCAGAGAGCCAGCCAGTGACTTTCAAGGGTGGGAGGGGCCGGATTGACACCAAATTCCAGCTGTTTCTCTGTTCACCCACAGGCGCACAGCTCCCAAACCCCCAGGCTCAAAGCCGCTACCTTCTTGGATTCCTCCCTGTTTCCAGCCTCCGACATTTAATCATTTCAATTTGACAAACATCATCAATTCTTGCTAAGTCTTTCTTCACAGAGAAATCCCCCTGTCCTGGCACAATCTACTCCTGGTCATTTCCTGCCCTCCCACCTCACCTCGTCTCCCTGCCTGGTCTCTCCCTGGGCTTCTTTGTCTGCTCTCCCCCTCCTTGCCTCCCGCAGCCCTCAGTAATGAAGAGCAAACTCATAAAACATTCATCGTGGGTAATACACCATGTAGGATCTGCTTGATCCCAGTTCCGAAAGGAGAGGCCAGGTCAGTAGGATGCTGGGTCTCAGGCTTCGAGATGGTTGGGGTGACTTCTCTACGTTGGGCTCAAGTTCCAGCCACTTCCATGAAGCCAGGCCTGATCCTCCCTGGTGGGGTGGAGGGTGGGGGGTCCCGGTAGAGTAGAA